AGCTACTCCCTAACCGTCTTTCTCGTGATATGTACGACAATCTTCCTCTCCCGTGGAATATCCCGCATCCCATTCCCTCTTCCATCTTACCCCAATCTCAATTTCTGAAACTCGACTACGACCGCGATGGAATACTGTCTAATCCGGAATCCGACGATTTCTTTTTCGGTGGCAGAGAAGTCACGCTTAAGCAGGCAGAGAAGTCTTTGGAGACGGCTAGTATGGTTACGAGGTGGAGGGAAGCACATCCGGAAGCAGTAGGAACGGAGAAGGTTAGTTGATTACGTTTTGATGAAATATATAATTCGCTTCTCTATGATTGAGGCAATCATGCTAACCTCTCCCTCCGAAGGATGTTTTGAAAATGCATATGAGAGAATTGAGAAAAGCGATGGGCGAGAATGAAAGTATGAGGACGGGAAGTAGCACTACGATCATTCTTGTCAAAAAGGCTTTGGAGACTTGACTCTCAATAGGTGTCTAGTTGTTCCTATTAGGTGTGCTGGTAATGCGGCTTACTATTCTCTCATGTATGGTTGGGAATTAGAAATCAAGTAGATAGAAATAGAGGATGGCATAAGTGGATGTGAAAATAGAGAAGAAAAACAGGATTCAATACTTACGGGAGTAGATAGATTAATATGTATCTGAGGTCCCAAGTTATAAGATAGCAGTGATTAACGAAGAACTAGACGGAATGTAATTTTTGTATGAATTACCTTGATGTTTGAACTTGGAATATCTCACATCATCATATATGAAGAGGGCATTCAAAACAGTATGAAATCTCACATTTTCAATACGATCTAACGTGGATCTTGTCATGTTCAAAACTCTCAGTGAGGTGGTACATATTATACAAAGTGTTATGCACTTTAGCTAACAACCCGTAGACTGGTAGACCATTTAACCATAACTACGATGCAATTACTCCCTAGCGCAACCCCTATTCCAAGCCCTAATACTGTGGTTGAACGCCATTTTTCAAGGTACCTCCGCCCTTTCCGACCAAAGTATCGAGAGCTGGTAGATATACATGTGACCCCAATTCGCTAATATCCTTCCCGGATCCCAATACACCTGTATTATGATATGAATTATGTTCTCCAAAACAGTTCGAATGCATACTGCGAGTAAACAAGTAGACCATTTCCGGCCCCGCATTGCCCCAAGTATCCACAGCCAGCAGAAAACTAACTCCAAGTAGAGTGTAAATTTGTCCGGGTCTTTCTCCTTCCCTTTAAACCCACTTCCCCAGCACCCATGAGAGTCTTCCACCTCCTTCCTAAATTCCCTCTATCCTTCCCTAAACTCCTCGCGCAATCTTGCCAATCACTTTTACTCAACTTGAGCTTTTCCAACACTAATTCCACTAACATTCTATCTTCCTCCCTTGACCAATTGTCTCCGACTTCCTCCTCCTCGTTTCTTTGTGCTTCCCTCTCACGACTCTGTGAATCACCTTCAGCACTGAAGATGAATGCGCCTTCATCAGCAGCGGTATTCTCCATCTCGGCTAAGCGTAGCGTATGGAAATCGCTTCTCTCTAGCCCTAACGGTAAAACTTCTGGTGCAATTCTCCGCCTGCGTTTCGGTGTGCTAGGAGCTAGAAGTGTTGAGTCTTCGTGCTCTTGTCCCGAAATATCATCCATCCTCTCATGAATCATCTCATCATCCGTGTCCCTCCTCCTCTTGTTGATTCCTCTTGAAACTTCTCTCGGTGTTCGTTTCGAGATGCGTTTCCTATCGCCAATTTCTGGCATGACACTCTTTGCAGGAGATGGTATGCGCAATCTAAGTCTCGGGTGTGAAGTCCTAGTGGGAGGTGATGAAGGAATTTCTGCATGAAGTGTAGGTGGCGAAGGTAATTGTGTCGGGGTTGTGAGCATAGATTGCAGAGCGCGACATGAGTGAAATAGATTGCTGATAGTAGGTGTGGGAGATAGTGAAGGAGTAGGAGAAAGGGGTGGTGATGCGAATAGAAGATTGTGATTTCGAGATGGTTGAGAAAGTGCCTGGGATGAATCGCCACAGGCGAATGCGGACGGTAATAACATCTTTTACTATATTGCGAATTCACAATATAAGTTTGAACTTTCTTGAAATGCTGATGTTATTTTGAAGATTGAATGTTGTAGGCAACAATGAGTGTTATTTGTTTATTTTCCAGACAAAAAAAGCAAAGTGATGGTTTGCGACCGACGCCTAACAATCATGCGCCGGAAAGCGTCGAAGCCTTGTAATCTTTTCTTTCTTTCTTGAAAGATATATCAAAAGATTCGCACAGTTTTCTTCTATCGTTGAAAGCTTCAATGTTGATATGCGATGAAGAAGGTGTTGTGATATGTCCAATTAGGTTGTTATCTTCTGACCGTTTGGAAATATCGTTTCCGTTGCTATTTGACGAGAAAGGATGAACAAGAGGGCCAAAGTGAACAAACGGGGCGGATAGCTGGGTTATGTTAATAATGTTATAATAATGATCACGTGATCACGAGCTGCAACAATTCTGACAGGGATGTGTGAACTTGTGAACGTGTGATCAGTGCTGCATTAGACATTTACGGATTATGGATTACGGAGAGTCTGGAGACGCTAAATAAACTAATAAATGAGACAGGGATCGAAATAAAATGGCGAAACTCAATCCCTTCCAGTTCCAGTTCCAGTTCCAGTTCCAGTTCCAGTTCCAGCCTCTAGATGATGATAATAATAAGTTGGAAGTTTGTCTATCTGCTTTGGCGAAGATTGGATGGATGGAGAAGAAGCATGGAAACAATCAAGGTAGGAACTAGGTGAAGTGAGGTGAAAGAATAAAAGAAGAAAGGGAAGAAAAGAAGACTACTAGAGCATGACGAGAACTAGCACAAATACTGTTCCTACTACCACTACTTCTTTAGATATCAATATCTTTCCCGTCTCGAAATATCCCTCAATCTAGTCTTCCGGTAAGAGGGATGACTAGATCCTATCTTTTCCCCTCTGTTAACTAATCTCTCAACTCCTCCTCGCTTTCATAGTAGTCACCATTACAATAAGATCCTACCCTCTTTTCCTCCATACCACACCCCTTGCCATTCATCCCGAGTCAACGTAAGACTCAAGACCCAAGACTCCAACTACTCTTGTAAGTTGTACCACTGTACCGTATAAAATCTCACTGTTCCACAGCATTTCCAATATCTCATTACTACTTCTACTGGATGCAACTGAAAAGCTTGGAGTGCAAACTTCCTACAACTCATACAAACTCAGCTAACACAGGAATTGAACCGACCAACTCCTTTCTAGTTTCCATTTAATTCATATCCCATCAAGCCATCTACGAAGCTCGGGAAGAAGCTTCTCCCCCTCTTCCTCCCCCTTTGCCCCAAGAGTCGCTTGAGGTAACGTCCAGTGTCTTGCTAAGAATTGAAGTATTAGTTAGTTAGACCGTTAGGTCATGATTGCCTAGACACGCCCTTCGCCCTTTACAATTCACTTTGTCGTATCCCAATTTGTATATTTGAAATCCAAATGGCTTTTGAAATGCCTCTTTTGCTAGTCTCCCTTCAGTCAACATATACTTTGTACGAACACGTTGTATGCTAAGAGAAATAGTTTGTACCCTTCCTGCAGCATTAGTCTTCCCTCTGCTTTCAATTTAGGGGTTTCCGTCTACTCAATGCCGCCTGCCAGTGAGTGAACAGTATGCCTACAGTATGCCTATCAAATCTTTCTTGCTACAGTTCATCACTCTTAAACGACCTTCCCTTTTGATAAAAACATTTATCAGCTATCATTATCGTTTTGAGGGGTTAATTGAAGCAAAAATCCTCCTTACAAAGTTCCTTCCTATCTATTATCTATGTAGCTCCTGCACACAACATCAAGCATCCTCGCATGTAAAACGGTTTTCAACATAATCAATCCCTGAAAAATCGTGAATTTGAAGTATCGTTTTCTTGTCCCCTGTCATCCTAAAGTCTTATAATTTCCCAAATAGAGGGGCACACAAGGAAGATAAGACGCGTGTAGACGCGATTTCGCGTTACCTTTTACGCGTATGAGTCAGCTTGGTCCGATCTCTCCGATACATGTCTTGATGTCTTATCATTCCTCACCTCGCACTCGAATTGAATCTGCTGACTTCTTCCTCACATCCCCATGATTTACTAGAATCTAATCTTCAAATTTCACGCCTATCCCATCCTATCCCATCCTCTCTGATTCCATTTCTAATCCACCTCAGAAACATCATCATCCCTTGTCACATGTATCCATCCTTCTCTCCATTTCCAGATCCTGCCGCCCGCTATCATTTTCGCAGTAGCGTCTCGCTCTGCATATCCACCCGAGCCACCTATCCTGCCGCAGCTTGCGTGACCCCATTCTTAGCCTCCATCCTTCTCATGAATGATTTCTTTTTCATCAAATCAGAGAGCTAAAAGAGACAATGTCTAGCATCACGCACATGTTGCATTTGCGGTCCGTTGCCGCAAGAGATGAGAACCTAGGTACAATAATTTATACCTAGGCTCCAGGGAATCAGATCATGGGACGGGTATAGAAATATGTATGCATATCATGAAGATCAGTTATTTACTCATGTATTTCCATTGGTTAGACAAGAAGTTCAATAGAAGTACCGGCATATTGCAAATCTTGCACGGTATTTGAGAATGAAATCCTGAACGGATTGCCTTGTTTTTGTATCGAAATCTGTTTTGCTGTGTCCATTTGTTCCAAGAAGCTTCTTGCGCGCTTCTGATGAGAACGATTGAAAAGTTGGTGTTACATAGCAATCACCAAGGGTGAGTTTAGAACGGCTCGAATCTCGTCACATGATTATGCTAGCCATGTCTGTCATATATCACTAAAATTACAGTTGGCGTGAGATAATAACACACCCGATAAATGGAGAAAGCATCAGATAAATGGAAACTAATAATAATAAGCATACCTATCTTAGATCTGAGTACAAAGGTATCTCAGCTGCTAAATGAAATTGGGAGTCCTATGTTACCTAAGTGTGAGCGACTCCTCGCTGTCCCGTTTAACGTTCTGATTTCAAAGATGCATCCAGTTATGTTCCTTGAAGTAGATAGATACTCTCCTACTCCTAGAACAGCAGGATGCAGTTTTCCGAGCCAATTTTTCTGTTTCCTTGCAGCCATTACTACGCATTTCTTCCCACCAACTCCCTCAAACGTCAACCCCTTGTGTCAAAGTTCAAAATTTCCCTTTTCCATCTCTCTCTACCATTGAACATACCAAGAGACAATCAGTCTCCAACAAAATCACCAGTCATTCGCACGTGATATGTCCACCCCTCGGAAGTGCTTCGGCAATCCCAGCGTCCGACCCATACCTCTCGATAACACAGCGAGCGTCCAAGTATGAAAATCGATATTGACACCAATTCCCAAGATCATTCATTCTTGTGTCTGTCTGTGAAGCGATGCTTTCCACGGGTACCATTCCCCAAAGTCTCAACTCCATACACAACACCTTCGCAAAGATAGTACTAAACCGGTCCCTCGGTATTCCCATATCTCTCTTTGCCGGCTTGGCAACTACTTCGTTGATTTTCTTGACACTTCGCGATACTTCTACTTGTACACCTACACGCGTCACCAGGATTTCTTCGTCCGAATCACAATTAGATGCAAAGACGACTTCTCGTATAATTCCCAGTCCGCTCAAGACCCAGATTCCCACATTGTCTCACGAAGAAATATCCACGCTACCTTACCCGCCGGATATATATCCCGGTGCCCGTGACGTCCCCAGTCCCGTTCGTGAACTCCCAATCTGAGATCTTTCCCTCTTCTATAGCATCACACAGTCTAACGAATAGAACAGTATGGCAGCACACGAGCGTATGAATTTGGTCCGGTGACCGGCCCCAAGGTGCTCCTCGTCCATGGGATTTCCACTCCGTGTATTGCGCTCCACTCCCTCGCTACTACTCTCGCTACCACGCACGGATGCAGAGTCCTCCTTTTCGATCTTTTTGGAAGAGGGTACTCGGATGGTGTGAGCGATTTGCCGCATGATGAGAGACTTTATACGACGCAGATTTTGCTTGTGCTTACTTCTTCTTCGCTATCTTGGGTCGGGGATGGGTTTCACATTCTTGGGTTTTCCATGGGTGGAGGGATTGTGGTTGCTTTCGCAGTCGCATTTCCAAAAATGGTGAAAGATGTGATTTTGTTGGCGCCAGCGGGTTTGATCAGGGAGGAACATTTTGGTTGGAAAGGGAAGATGATGAGAAAGTGGTGGTTTCCTGATGGACTATGGGGGTGGATTCTTAGGAGGAGAGTTAGCGGGTCCTATGATACCGTGCCAAGTCCTTCATCTTCTCCTTCTACTTCCCTCCAAATCTCTGATCCGCAAGCCGATGATAAACAATATGAGAGCCAAGCACAAGTAGATTCAGAACTCACAACTGCTGTTCCCGCTTCCTCTGCTGCAACGAACGCAGATACTAGATTATCATTTGATGATACACCTATATCATCCCTGCTACCGCACATAACCGTAGGACAAGTGATGCGATGGCAAAAACAACAACATCGGGGATATACAAACGCATTCGCGAGTTCAATCATGTATGCGTCGATTTCCGGACGCAAGGAAACATACAAGGAACTCTGGGGTTCCTGGGTTAGCAGCGTTGGCGCGGAGAAGAGCGAACATAACAAGCGAAAGAAGATTTTGATCATGGTAGGAGAACATGACGACGTGATTGTGGCAGAAGAATTAAAAGAAGATTTAAAGACAGCGGTGATGGAAAGATTCGGGGCTAGAGACGACGGGAGTGATATTTTTGATGAGAAAATTGTCTGGAAAAGCATCGAGAGCGCGGGTCATGAATTCCCAATCACGAGGGGAGAGGAGGTCGCGAGCTTCATTGGGGAATTCATAGGTGTATGAAGATGTACGGGAAACAAGAGAGTTTTGCGCACATGACGGTGTTCTTCACACGTCTTTTATATTATATGTCACGAACATGTTATACGACCAGGAGCGTCCAAGTACAAGTTTAGAATAATCTGCTAGAAAATATCAAACCACACAGATTTCCAAATCTCAAAGCTATAAAATCTACCGATCTCTCCCCCCCCCCCCCCCCCCCAAAAAGATGCAAAAAACATCAGTTCTTCACATTCAACTATCCAGCATCTGGAAGTACCCATCCTTACAACCCCTTTCTTAGCGATTCATCGCTCACAAAATCCGCAATCCACCAACACTTTTTCAGCCCACTTGCTCTCTTCGTACTGATCTCCAAGATATCTATCTATCTACCTATATCCCTTCACATTCCAGCAAAGATTCCATTCTCACAAAACCCCATCGATTTCACACCACGTAATATTCAACTTAGGACTATGATAAATCTCGAGATATTCTGAAGATAGATGAATATCTTTTTCATTTCGGAACTACCTATTCAAAACTATCCAACATCAATGGTTTCCATGGATTGAAAACTTTTGTGTATTTTTGAAGTTTAGTCATTGATTTCATAGGTGATGATTTGCAGACCAAGATTGGACTTTTAAGAGAATTCTCACTCTGGTAGTCTAACTAAGATAGTCTAACTAAGAGTGAGAGAGGGATAGATTCTGAATATGACGACGGCATCGATTCTCTTCACTGCTGGCTTCGCTTGTAATTGTGGATTCTACATCATATATATTCGAGGTTGGAACAAATCTCACTCCAACCACAGAGGTGTTCTAGCTATATATCGCGTAACCCACAGACAGGGAATCATAGAGACTTTTGCGGTGAAGGTATTCGTCTGTATGAATTTCATTTATGCGGAGGTGAAGAACCTCTCTCATTCATTGTGATAGTCATAAACTTACGCCTAAAAGATATCTTAAAAAAAACTGACAGTAGAGTAAATAACAAGACTTTAATGCATAATTAATAATTGCAATCCACAAGGAACTTCCAGCTTTTGGTATTTCAAAAGCCCGCACACTCTCTTCATAAAGCTAGCCCCAGACCCGCACTTACATCCCAACTAGAATCCTTGCTGTCTATGCCACTTCTCCTCCCACCCCGGAAAATAAGGACTCTCAGCCAACGTCTCCTCTTTCCAGACTTCCTCTCCCTCCTGCGGCACCACCAATCCCTTCTCCACCTGTTCCTTTGCCCACATCTCCATCGCCGGTATGACCACATGTTCTACATGCCAAGTCCCCTTATACTCCATCAAACTCTTCTTTCCCTCTTTCAGAATCTTGCACAGCAATGCTGGAACATATGGTTCATCCCTGAATTCCGTCACTGGCGTGAAGAGCGCCTTGAAGTTAAACACCACGCCTCCACTCAATGGCAATCGTCTTAAAGTCTGCCAATCCACTCTCAAATGACATTCTTCGATGGTCAAATCTTCCTTTTGGATTTCTCTCAATTTCTCATGCGGGTGACCGGCTGGCATAAACAAAGGAGAGTCAATTTCTAGACCCCAGCTTCCACGTTGAATCGGAGCATCGGCGGACATTTTGGTAAAGAAGCGATCCATACTAAACGACATTTTCTCTTTGTAATCTGGGATGGGCTTATGAATGGCATCGAGCTTCAATCCAATCTTAGTGGCAACGTTCCAGCCCAGTGAACTGCAGATGACGCCGGCGCGGAAATAGTACATTCCGTCTTCATCATTTCTCATTACAATTGCGAAATCTTCAGGGACATTGCTAAGCAGGACGTGGAGAGGATGCATGGATTTAATTTCAGTTGTAGTTTTGAGGAGAGCATTGTGGAATGTTCTTTTATCGTGCGAAAGGGAGAAATATGCCGGGTAGCGTGCGCAATAGAATTGCAGACACATTTCCATAAGTTCTTTAGTGACAAGTTCGCTTCCTGGGAGGTAATCAAGAACCATTTTGCCGTATTGTTTGAATAGTTCTTGACGTTCGGCGATGCGGGAACAATATGTGTTTTCGATCTCGAGCCACCAGTCAGGTTCCATTTTTTGAAAAGCTAGATTACTGTTAGTATATTTTGAGTGAAATCCGGGGTTGTAATTACACATGGTCTGATGGTATTGCCACCGTATAGGTCTGTATGGTCTAGGAAGCGCCTTTTCAGGGATGAATCCTTCGTAGGGTTGCGGCAATGGGACTCCGGCTAAGATATCATAAGGTGGGAAATCGCCCATAGCATTAATCTCTTGCGTAGAAAATCCCATGGGTGTATATTTTGGAGTTTCAAAGCCGAGCGTATAAGATTGAGTCATAGGTAGTTTGTTCCCTGCCATGTGTTCAACTGATGGGTTATTCGAGGTCAAGATGGTGCCGAATCGTGGAGGAATATAATTTGCAACATCTGGGAGCGTGCAACGTCTGGAGGGAGGCAAAGCATCGTAGTAATTTGGAGTTTTGCTGGTGGTGTTCAACGATCTGTCGGTAACTTTTTTGCTTGGAGACAATGAACGAGGTGGTGTTGCCGAGGTGGACGCACGTCGATGTTTGATATGAAGTTTGTTGAATAATAACTTGTGCCAATTTTGGGTATACATAAGTGTAATCACTGTGAGGAACAAACCAGCCACACCAAGGCCAAGAGGCCATTGGTTGTATATTAAAGAGGTATCGATCGCGATCATCGTGTCACTTGCGCACCATCGATAAGTGCTAAGCTTTCCGTACCTTTGTGTGATATTCTGTGAGGGGAAAAATGTCGATGAATCTCGTTATGTGTTTGGGATGTGTGATAGATAGAGGTGTAGACACTTGTTATTTGAGCAGGATGGAGATGGTATGAGAGAATACTTGATAGAAATGTTGTCAACACGTCCAGTATGCGGCTGTAAATGGATAATAAATGCGATAAAACCAGGCTATATCATATCGCAAGAAAGCTTTCGATGAATGGAAACCGAGATAGTGGCTCTGGAAAGAAGTATACGTTGAAATCTAATCTCAAAGCTACACCGAGCGCTGAGGATGAGAATCTGCGTCAAATATAAAGACAAGCATTTTCTTGAAATGCCTTTGATACCCCCAAAACATATAAGCTTCGACCATGGCCAGAGCCATCTCAATTAGGGAAAGGAAATCGTGGTAGATGAAGGAAGCATCAAGATCAGATTGTAATCCTCGATCCCAGTGGACGAGATAAAAAGAAGAAGTGGTGTGCAGCTTTCTCCACTCACTTCTGTTCCCCTCAATACCATACACGAACTACGTACAGACGTACCATACAAGGAAGCGTCATATCGTGGTATCTGATACCCAAGCACCCGACTATGATATGGCTCAAGGAAATGTCCTAGTGACCCCCTCAAACGATAAGACTCCTTATCTACTGGCTCTACATTTAGCCATACAACAGCCACGAGTAACCGACATTAATCGTTCACAACCACTTAGAAACTCTGTATTGCAGCAGTTTAACAGGATAAAATAGCCTAGCTTGGTTAAGCGTACATTGGCAACTCCGACATCCCGTGCGAATTGGCCCCACCATGGATTCCCGATTACTATATTCAGCGAATTGTTCCCTTAACTTGATTTTGGAAGGTGCTTTGCTTGTACGAAGTACAGTGCTCGGGATACAAAAGGAAGAAGTCTCGTATCGTATCAAAATCGTACCTATCAATCGTATCAGATCAGGTGATGTGTTGACATGACAGCATAGACTTCAGGTACAATGAGAATGCGAATGAGACATGCTTTCTACTCTTCTATCAAAATCATGATGCTCGAACTAGTATGCATCGGTGTTGGAGGTTTGTAATTTGGAGGTTGACTAATAGCTATTGTTTTGTGAGCATTGGATAGAAAACTTTGAAAGGAGTGTTGCCTCCTCGGATTGGTAGAGCATTTAAAGATATCTTATTGGTGGTGATTTCTTGAACTTGACGTGTACAATACTTTGCTGCGTACAGTATAACATATTAAAAAACATAGTAAGGGTATACAATATAAGAAAACGACGAGACCATCTCTGCAACCATCAGTGTTTTGTAGTCCAACACCTGATAAACCCCCTGATATTCAAATCTTTCCAAAGCCTCTTCGCTCGCTCGCTACAATAACAAGAAAACAAAACATGAGAACAACATTAGAATACATACGCTCATACTACCCAGTTCCCATAACCAGATTAACACAGTAGGTCGTATATTCATATCTCATTTCGTAATAAAATCATTCCATTTCATTCCATTAAAACCCAAATTTCTTCCGAAAACGAGAGAGGCCACCAGAAGCACTCGGCGCGCGGGACGTCTCGAAACCGGAGTCTCTCCGACTTTCTCGTGGAGGATCTTCTTGACTGCCTTCTGGGCTTCTTGTAGGCTTCTCTATCTCCTCCTTTTCGCGTCTTGTCTTTCTCATTCGTCTTCTCTCAGCCTCTCCGCCAACTGTCTCATCAACAGGGGATGCTTCACCGGTGGGGACGTTGGGTGGAGGGGGAGCATCTGCATTCTCTTTCACCCAAGAGCCTGTACCACTATGAGGCCAAGCTGAAGTCCTGGGCTTTGAATGACTGTTGACTGGGCCATCTGCAGGAAGAAATTCCGGCTCTGGAGCAGGTGCAGACTTGCGTCTCGATTTTCGAGGATCCGATGATTTTTCCCGCTCTGCCCGCTCTGCCCGCCTTCTTCGACGTGCTTCACTATCGTCGGGATCTTTGTGACTGCGTCGACGTTTGGACCGATATGGATCTTCACCTCGTGGCTCGCCATCTGCTTGGGCAGCCTTTCTCTCTTTTCTGTCTCTTCGTTCGGCCTCTCGCTCCTCTTCGACTCGACGTTTGTCAGCTTCAGCAAGTCGTCTGTCTCGTTTAGCAGCGTGTCGTGCCTCACGTTCACGTTCATCTTCCTCTCCGCTTCTTTGGCGCTCTTTTCTTGACTCTTCCTTTGCCGTTTGTACATCCTTCGTACCTCTTTGATTTGCATCGCGCTCAGCCCTCCTCGCGCGGCGATCTGCTTTTTGTGCCGCCTGGTCTTCCTCGGAAATGGCACCTGTCATGGTGACATCAATCTCGGGACCTCTAGAAGATCGTCTAGTCTTTCGTTCATCCCTTCTGTATGCACGGTTCTCATCTTCAGCTGGGGCCGTACTACGACGTTTAAGGTCTGGTCTATCCTTTTCTTTATCTTTTTTTCCAAAGACGCCACCAAACATGCCACCCAATCCAGATTTGCGGGCACTCGAATCAGTTCGTTTAAGTCCAGGTGTACCTGGGATTTCAGATGGACCTCCTTGCTCCTCCATGTCGACGTCGTCTTGTCTTCTTTGTTGATACGCTCTAGCACTAGCAGTCCAGTCTGTGGTAGGCCTGGTCTTCCTTCGAATTGGTATATCCATGGGTGGCGGAGGCATAGGTACAGGTGGTAGAGCTTGCCCATCAAACATTGAGTCATCAGTTACCTTTGATTTTCCTTTTCTATCGCGACTAGATCTCTGACGAATGGGATCTGCCACGTCATCATCTACCACGTCATCATCTTCATAATTGAGGTTAGCATAAGTAATAATTATGATACCCTGATGGTTCTACGTACCACGTGATGGCCTGGTCTTTTCGGACTTGCTTCTTGAAAGCTTGCCAGGGACACCGATACCAAACATTTTTGCAGCCTTTGCGGACATTGGAGGAGGCTCACGAGAATCGTCGGGAATTGGAGTTGCGTAGTTGGAGCTATCCATGTTGACAGATTGTCGGCGTGAGCTTGTCCTACTCACACTTGGTCGCTTTTCAGATTTTGAATTAGACCTCGATAGTGGAGTAGCGGGCCCAAACATATTTGAAATTCCCCTAGAAACTGGTGGTCTGTTATCTCCCTTGGAGGATTTATCTGCTTTGTCTGAAGATGAGTCTTTGGATGAAGAAGTCTTCTCTTCTCTAGTAGATGATCTTCTAGATTTAGAGTGCCGAGGGTCGGATTCCCTGGTAGACCTTCTCTCCTCTCTAGTGATTTGAGGCTCATCGGATCTACGCTCACGGTCCCTGGATGACTTTTTCTCCCTTTCTTCCTTGCGAGGCTCTGCCCCCCACGCTCCCCAAGAAGATCCATCGCGAACAACTCGAGGACGTTCTTTCTTAGATTTATGATCCGAGTCTTGTTCCGGTTCCAGTTCTACTTCAGGAGGTGGTGTCGGTGGTTCAATGGGTACAGGAGGTGCTCTAGAAGATTCCTTGCTCTTACTAGATTTGTGCCTATTTTTCTTTTGAATTGGCATCTCGACAATATCAATGATTTCGTCGCCGTTTGCAGAATCCGGAAATGCACCAGGAAGAATTTCCGGATCTTCCAACCTTTCCTTGTCTCTTCTGGAAGATTTTAGTTTTCTCCTTTCTTCCTTGGTCGGCGCGGGCGGCGCAGCAGGTGGGGGTGGAGAAGGTGCTGGGAAATATTCATCTATTTCTTCTTCAGATTCATGAGGCTCCTCAGGGGGTTTATTCGCTTCAAATGCCCTTAACCTATCAGCGATGGTACCTCCAACTGGTTTCTTTAACAAGCTTGATTTTATTGATGGTGGTGGCCATTTGGTTGTTGTGTCCTTGTTCTTGGAAGAGGTTTCTGGGCGCATCGCTTTGTCAGCAATCGCAATCTCGTCTGATCCCGTGCCCCAAGCCATGAGATTCTTAGTGGATGCCTCGGCAAGATTAGTTTTACCAAATTCCCTATCATCCTTGCTCGGTGATGGCTTCTCTATCACTGGTGATTTTTTAGGAGCTCCCCAAAAACTAAAAGCTTGAGATGCTGGCTTTGCGGTTGTTGTGCGATTACCTAATGCTAGAATTTCATCTACTTCTTCCTGGGTTGGTTCTAGGTCTTCATCTGGTTCTGGTGTTGGAGCTTTCGTTGGGATTGGCGGTGATGGCGGTGGTGGTGGTGTTGGAGGAAGAGGTTCTGGTTCTTTGCTGTGTTTAGACTTCTTACCCTTACTTGATTTTGATTCTTTTCTAAGCCGTCTAGAAGCTTCGGCCTCTTCTCTAAGAGCTCTCTTCTCCGCCTCTCTATTGACACGCTCCATTTCTTTTCTAGCGGCTTCCTCTTCCTCTCTGATAATTCGTTCTTCCTCCTCTCTTGCCCTTTCTTCCTCCTCTCTTGCCTCCTCGGCTTCTCGAGCAGCATCTTCCTCGGCCTCTTTTGAGGCTTGTTCTTTTTCAGCTTCCAGCTTTGCTAATCGATCGGCTTCTCTCTGTTGTTTCTTTGTCAATTTAACTTTCGGTTTGGCTGCTTCAGCCTCTTCTGCTAATCTTATAGCTTCAATCCTAGCTTGCTCTTGGGCCTCCAAAGCCTCGGCCTCGACTCTCGCTTGCTCTTCAGCTTCGATTCGTTCTTGCTCCTCGGCTTCAAGTCTCTCTTGCTCTTCAGCTTTTAACCTATCTGCCTCTTCTTGCTCTTCTTTCAATTTTCTTTCAGCCTCTTCCTTTTCAGCCTTTCTTCTAGCTTTCTCGGCCGCCTTGTCAGCTTCCTTCTGTTCCTTCTTGCTGAGTTTGACAGGAGGGGATTCTTTCTCCTTGGATTTTGATTTCTTTGATGAAGATCCAAAGCCCCACAAGTTATCTGTTTCAGGTTCTGCTGGGGGTGTTGGGGCTGGAGGAGGAGCTTCAATCTCAAGGACGTTCTTTTTCTTGCTCTTTTTCTCAGTCTTTTTGTCTGGTTTGCTACCTGAGGCAAGACCCCATATTGAACTCCAATCGTTTTTGGGAGGCTCTGGTTCGGATTCTGATTCGGATTCGGATTCGGATTTTTCGGCCTTCGCTTTCTCTTCCGCTTCAACCCTTTCTCGCTCTTCGGCCTCGAGTCTTTCTTGCTCAAGTCTCTCTTGCTCCTCGGCTTCGAGTCTTCCTTGTTCCTCGGCTTTTAATCTAGCTGCCTCCTCTTTCTCTTCAATCAATTTTCGTTCAGCTTCTTCTTTTTCAGCTTTCCTTCTAGCTTTGTCCGCATCCTTCTGTTCTTTTTTGGTGAGTTTGACTGCTGGTTTTGATGAAACCGGACTGAAAAAGTCATCGAATTTAGAATCCTTGAATGATTCAGCTTTGGGGGGTTCTTCAATAAGGTTCTTTTTCTTCTTCTTGTCTTTCGAAGAAGAGCCCCATCCCATGAAATCATCAACAGCCGGGGGGGCGTCTGGTACCGGTGGAGGTGACATGGGCTCTTCAAACTCATCAACAGGGAGTAGAGATTCTTCTTTGCTCTTGGTGTTTTGTTCCCAATTCATCCAGTCATCATCATTATTTGCAGGTTCTATGGCTTCATATATCGGCTTACTCTCAGGCTCGGGCGAAGGTTCCTTATTTTTGCTCCCCTTCTTTTTGTCCCTCATGGAAGTAGAAGCAAATCCCCAGCTGAAATCGTCCATAACAGCTGGAGGCGGGTCGGGAGCCGGTGCAGGTATAGGCTCGTCGTAGTCATCGATGATTCTGGGTTCCTCAGCGCTCTTCTTGCTCTTCTTCCTATCTTTGTCCTTGCTAGAGATCCTGTCCTTCTCTTTGCCCGAGGTTTTATCTTTCTTTTTGCTTGAGGTAAGAGCACCCCAAATACCTACAGATTCAACAGATTTCGGGGCCGGTTCGGGATCTGGATCATGGAATTCTTCTTCAAGTGGTTCCTCATCTTTCTCTTTGTTATCAAATCCCCAATCAAAGCCACCATTCGCTGGAGCAGTTGGCAAATTTTCCTCCTTGGATTTCTTTTTCTTGTCCTTTGTAGAACTACTAAGTCCCCATGAGTCCCATGCTTGAGTTTCCTCTGCAGGCTCATCTTGTTCTAACTCTGGTTCGGGTTCAGGTGGCGGCGGTGGCGGTGCCCTCACAATTTCAGGTTCCACAACAGCGTTCTTACCTTTCTTCTTTTTTTCTTTTTTAGACAACTTGGCTCCCCAGACCGGTTCGGGTTGTGGTGGTTCGATTACCGGTTCCGGTGCAGGTTCGGGTTCGGGTGTGGGTTCTCTTTCGGGCTCTGGGGCAGGAAGTGGCTCTTCTGTAATTTTCTTCTTCTTTTTCTTTTCCTTTTTAGTAAGTCCCCATCCCCAGCCACCCTCCTCTTCTTTTTCTTCTTCTTCTTTATTGTCCTCAATTGCAGGTTCGGGCTCCGGTGGTTCAATGACTGGCGGTGGTTCTTCTACTTTTGGCAGTTCGTCAATAATTGCATTCTTTCCCTTTTTTTTCTTACCCGATTTGGTGTTTCCCCAAGCAGAAATTGGTTCTTCCTCTTTCGCCCATTCGCGAACAGGATCGGGCTCTAGGTCTTTTTCGCGCTCGGGTATAGGATCCGGTGGAGGTGAGTCTTCTGGTTTTGATATTTCAGCAAGCTTTCCCTTTTTCTTTTGGTCTTCTTGGATATTGTTCCAAAGTTCGAGGCTTCTTCCACAAGGGCAGGCTCAGGAGGAAGAGGAGTAGGTGATTTCTCTTCTACAGGAGATTCTACGACAGGCTCCACAACAGGCTCGACTACGGCTTCCATTTTTGGGGTTTCATTGGGTTTGGGGGTTTCATTGGCTGCTTTACCTTTCATCTTTTTGCTTGTAGCACCCCAAGCACCCCAAGCAGCGTCGTCCGAAATAGGAATATTGATGGGTTTCGGAGGCTCCACTTTGGGTTCTTCTTTTGGGGCCACTTCAAACTTGTCTATCGCTGAAGCTACGGTACCTTTACTTTTCTTCTTCCTATCTTCTTTCTTGGAAAGGCCAATATTAAACCCAAGATCTTCTTCTGGTATAGGATCGGGTTTTGGTTCAGGCTTTGGCTCGGGCTTTTTTTTCGATTTTCCGGGAATCTGTTAAGCTGCGTTTAGTCTCCTCCTGGCCAAGGGCACCGAATGTAAATCCCAGGCCTTGATTTTCGGGCTTACCACGTTCATTACTCCAAGGATTGTTGGCATCCTCGGTGGCCTTGTTCACTGGAGATGGTGTCCTTGCGCTTGTTGCGCTTCCAATTCCCCATTTAGACACTCCAGTAATCCAACTACTGCCCCAACCACCTAGAACACCGGGTAATTTTGGGCTTGCAGTACTTCCACCAGATTCTACATTCAGGTCAGGCTTTGGCTTATCATCCAATTTGATGTCGTCAAATGTTTCGGCAATCTTTATCTCGGGAGCGGGAGGGGGCGGAGGTGGAAGAGGGTCTGGTTCCGGCTCGGCATTTCTTCCCTTTTTCTTCTTCTTCTCTTTCTTAGCCGTTATAGTGTAGCTGTCCGGTATGTTTTCTGTAGCCCGCTCAGCAATCTTCTTTGCTTCCTCTCTCTCCTGCTCTCTCCTCTCTTCTTCTTTCTTCTCCTCTTCTAACCTCTCCTCTTCTTTCCTCTCCTCCTCTTTTCGTTCCTCCTCTTTTCTCTCTTCCTCTCTCCTTTCCTCTTCTCTTCTCTCCTCCTCCTTTTCGTCATCTCCCCCATTGCCAGAACCACTCCCATTAGCTCCAGCATCGCCATTATTACCATCATTATCATTTTTCTTCATGCCATCATCTCCATCGTCTTCCTTGGGTTTGTATACTGGCGCATTGTTCTTTGCATTTGCCCTCTTATTCTTCTTCGCAGCCACCTTAAATCCATCTTGGTAGTTGAAATCGACAGAGGGGTTTAATCTACGATCGTCAAATGGTAATGGTTCACGTATTCTTTCTCGCGAGGTTATAGGGGTAGCGGGGTGTTTGATATAGTCTTGCGACTGTGATTTGGCGAGTGAACTAGTGTCGTGTAGGTCTACTATATTCTCTTCGTCGCCTTGTGTAGACCTATGCCATTGCCACCCTGGTAGTAAGCTAGCGGTTCTCAATCTTTCGTTTATTCGCCTGCGAGAACTGGCTTGTATCGGATGGAGGCTCTCGTCCTGTGAACAATATTAGAAACCTATGTCGAAGATACTAAAACAACCCAAGCACAAAAGTCGCTACTTTGTGATTTGATATCCTGCAAATAAATGGAAATCGAATAGTTCCCACATGGGCTTCTTGAACTTCAACATATGCAGTGGGCTTGGGCTATTTCTAATCTCGTCCGTGGTGCTCGCGACCATTGTACAAATTCACCAGTTGCACTGCGCCAGCCTGATCTAGTCGCAGACATAGAATTGAAACCATATAGAAATTATTTGTATGCATACCAATCCCGAATGCCATAAATCTTTCTGTGTTTGCGAAGCCTCCCAAGCCTTTGCAATGAATCTCAGCCTCATGCGAATATCCCCCTCATCCCATCCAATCGTCCAAGGAAAGGTCGTATTCAATCCACAATCGCTTCCGTACAACAAAACCTCAACCGCTGCCATTGTGGATATTCAAACTTTGGTTATGGCAGGAAGATGTCAAATTCATCGAAACTGTGTGGTACTCGGCATGAGCGCAATCTGAAGGGGGGCTGGCAAAGTGGGATCCGCTTCGAATGCGTGGCAGAAGGGCAAGAGAGATTTCGGAAAAGAAAGAAAAGCAAATTGAAGAAGGCTGAGAGGATGTAAGTACAATTCAACAGTATTGTGAGGTGAGAGTTAATGTGTAGTTAGTCGATCAGTTCAAAGAGGGTATGATATGGTATGGTATGTATGGTATGAGGAGAACTTCGGACGTGGTCACACGTTGAATATTGCCCTGGTCGTTTGTATCCTGCGTTAATTCTGAGACATTCAATCAGGTATCTGTGCTGAGAGTGATGATCCCCCCCCCAAGAAACCCTTATCAAGACCCCTATCCGTGCCACTTCAATATACCTAGATGTAAAACATTCGACGTTTATATATGTTCATCTGAAAAGGTAAACCGTTCTCGAGGGTAAAGAGTTTCTGAAGAATAGATCAAACGATGGATTCAGACCGATAAAAGGATGTTTAGATTGACCAACGATACTTCACGGAACAAGATTCTCGCATTGGATGACACTAATAGAGCCATGTACAGTTATGGTTATGCATTGTGCAAGTACGCCTTCACACACCTGCAGTTGTCGAATGGGACAAGAAGAACACACGATGACTGGTAAAGTTTCCACTTTTTACTGGTGCTTCGTAGAGGATGCGGGTACAAGCAGGAGCGGACAGGTAACTAATAGGCCCAAGTTAAATCGGTAGGGCAGGTAGATCTGTGGCAAGCGTGCTGTGTGTGGGTATTGGATAATGATTGGTATGACTTGGGAAAATTCATATGTGAGGTAAAGGTAGTTGGTAGTACAGCATTGACATTTGTCGTTGGTTCTTACATGATTATATGTATACAAAATATAGGAAAATATACATATAATAATCACTTGCTTCCGGTGAACGTGGACGAGGGTCAATTTCATATTATCGATCGTTGTTGTCAATTGTCTGGTCTGTCGTACCATTTCAGGCTCGCTCTTCATTAGTTCTGGCCCTGGGCACCTTTTCGCCATCCCCATCTCATCTTTCTCCACTGTTTGAGACTCTTCTACGTATTTACGATTCGTAAATTACGAATAATACCTACAGTAAATAGGTGTATTTTGCTACACCGCTTCTTGATATAAAGCACGAAGAGCTGGGATCAAGAGCATGAATGGAAGGAAGTGCGACCACACAAAGGCACATACGCGGTATTCTTCCTTCGCAGTCCTCCTTCGCATGGAGAGGCTGAGGGAGGTGGGTGAAGAAAGCATAGGTGAAAAGCCACAAAAAGGAAGAGCTGGTTGGAAGGAGAAAGGATATGAAGATTTTCATCAAATTACATTATACAATTGGCTTCATGCATAAGGGGATGTTGCTAGGTATTTCTCTTTCCTAGCCATGGGTTTGGTTGGCTGGTGACACTGCACATTTCGAGATTGGGTAGAGGTGGCAACCAGAAATGTGATGTATCGTGGGAAAACAACACTCTGATTCGTTGGAAAGGATATGCAAAGTATAACAAACCGCGGGTACCGACGTGCCTTTAATATCTTCTTTGGTCCGAGTCATCATAAATCGGTGCGCTATCGAGACTGTATTTGTGTATAGAGGGGATATCTACTACCTATCTAGTAATCAGAAGGGCCAAAGTCTTTGATTCATGTTCATGATGCAAACCACAAAACTGCAAACAATCCACCCCATGCATCGAGAGAAAAGGCCCATTCTCGAGTCAAGTTTGAACTCGAGATATAATGATGGGTAGAGAAGCAAACAGAGACAAACAGAGACAAACAGAGACAAACAGAGAGAATCGAGGCAATCGAGGCAATCAGTTTAGATCCAAATTCACACCGAGCCCTTAGATCCGGCCACTTTGAGATTCGTCACCTTGTCAGTCGCACCCACAAGAAATTGGGTATGATATTCAAAAGTTCTCTTGAACACATGATGAATCTACTTACTCGGTACGATAGGTAGGCAGTGAGATAAATCACCATCCACACCGTCACTTAAGTAAGTCTACTTTAGGTGGCTTAGCTCGCAATCATTCGTCCCAATTTCATGGATTGCAATTTCAGCCTGAAGTAACATGAAGTCATCGTGTTCAGATTTTATTTTGATATATACCGCGTTTATCTTCGTATATTTCATGTTTTGGAAATGGAAAGTTCATACTATTTTATACTATTCTATACTGCTTTTTCTTCTCTTCTTTTCTTGATAATCACCCAAAGTTTAAAGAGTCCACAAATTTCGGGGCAACAATCCCTCCGATCTGCTAGAAGCACTTTGACACTCTGATTTGAAAACTATAGAGAACTGCCACACAAATCTACAGATTTCATATCGCCGCACAAGAGTGGAGTCCTTCGGACTTCAATTCCAGTGATTGATAATTCCAAGTCCTTCCAGACCAGGCATTGCGGAGGATGTTTTTATCCGCAGAAGATACTAGATGTCTCTGATGCGTTTCACTTCAGGCCTTGCAAACACGATTTTTACGCAGAGAAAATTGCTAGATACTCCTCATTGCCGAGGTTCAACGACGTTGTTTACTAAACTTTTACCTGTTCACTGACTACGTAGTCATGTATGTCGTAGACAACCCATGCTAGAGAGGGGCATAGTGATATCAGAGTAAAAATTTCCAGCCAAACAAACTTCCCCCCGCACCGATTCCCATCTTCAACTTTTCCATAATAAGGATCTAATTAAGTTTTCTGTCTCCACTCTATGAGCTCAAGCTCCGTTCCTAGATTATGATTATTATCAATCATGCCTCGAAGACTACTGGTCGTGTCTACTTCAAAAGAAGTCCTAATCCCCTCTCAATTCCTCCCAAAGTATCAATTGAACTTTTCCATATCAAATATACCCCGTTCACAATATAAAAACGCACTTTCCATCAACATACCAGATCTAAAATGCCATCAAACACCGCAATCGTCGTTCAGAAGCCTGGAGAGGCCAAGGCAGTTGAGGCCTCAATCCCAAAACTTAGAGATGATTACATCTTGGTCAAGACCAAGGCCGTTGCTTTGAACCCAACTGACTGGAAACACGTCGAATGGCTTACCAGCAACGGAGCTAGAGTAAGTCTGCGATTCTTGTATCTTTACCAAACCATGCTAATGGCTCTCTGTACAGATCGGATGTGACTACGCAGGTGTCGTCGAAGAGGTCGGAAGTGCAGTTACCAAGGACTTCAAGAAGGGCGATCGCGTATGCGGTTTCTGCCATGGAGGAAACGAGGTCAACCACGAGGATGGAGCGTTCGCAAACATCATCACTGCAAAGGGTGATAACCAAATCAAGATCCCAGACAACATCAGCTTCGAAGAAGCTGCTACCCTCGGTGTCGGAATCACAACGTAAGTTCTCCAGACACTTCCAACCTTCCCAAATTCACCCAACCAACCATCCATCCATCCATCTAACATGTTCCTTCCCAGCGTCGGCCAAGGTCTCTACCAATCTCTCCAACTTCCCCTCCCCACCTCCCCCGCCTCAACCAAATTCCCCGTCCTCATCTACGGCGGCTCCACCGCCACCGGCGCCCTCGCCATCCAATACGCCAAACTCTCCGGCCTCACCGTCGTCACCACCGCCTCCCCCCGCAACTTCGCCTACCTCGAAAGCCTCGGCGCCGACAAAGTCTTCGACTACAATTCCCCCACCTGCTCCCAAGACATCAAAGACTTCACCAACGACAGCATCAAACACGCCTTCGACTGCATGTCCGAAGGATCCAGCCCCCAGATCACCGTCTCGGCCATGTCCTCCTCCGGCGGCGTCTACAGCACTCTCCTCCCCGTCGCCACCGAAGAAGTCCACAAGTACAACGCCAAGGTCGAGAACAAATCCACCCTCGGCTACACCTGCCTGGGCGAGAGATTCACCTTTGGCGCCACCGAAATGCCCGCCAAGCCCGAGGACTTTGAGTTCGCAAAGACTTTCTGGGAGATGTCCCGCGGTCTCTTGGCCGATGGAAAGATCAAGGTTCACAAGGTGTCCGTGAACAAGTTTGGTGAGGGCTTCGAGGGTATCTTGAGCGGAATGCAAGCTGTGAAGGAGGGTAAGGTTAGTGGTGAGAAGTTGGTCTATACTTTGTAAAATCAGGGATTTGGGATGTACAACATGTAAATAAAAGAATGGAGTAGTAAAGTTGTTGGCTCGCTTATAGAAAGCTGAGCATATTTATATTGTAGAAAGTTGGATATGCTTAATGATTACCTTATCCTTTAGTACGAAATTTTCCTCCATTGACTCGATCCCTCCACATAGGGTTGTACAGCTATGTAAGAATATTATCATGACTTAATAGCGGCTCCTTTGCCTCGTCTTCGCCTGATCGATGTTGTTTCGTCATGGAAATCCCCACAACACTTTCATTTACATCCCTGTCAAATACATTACAAACTCGTATAACACCTATTAATCATCATGCATAAGATAAAGTTAACAGTGTATCATTTCTAGATTCGTTCCCTGGAACCCTCACAGGATCACATCAACTATCTGAATCATCTCAACCACCTCAAAATCAAAAGAAAACTCCACCAAGATAACTTACGAAGCGACTGCCGCTCACCGCAGAAGCCATGACATAAAACCCAACAGTAACAGAATTCGTGGTATCTAAAGCGCCAAAAGAAAAAAACCTCATCAGTACCTAAAAGTCCCCGTCCCCTCTAGAATTTGACAGCCGTGAAGAAACAAAAGAAAATCAATGCGTATATGCACGGCGTTGACTACCATTACAAAGAGACTATCGACCACTCATATCACTCGAGTAGCCAGTATTATATGCGTCCGTCATTTGAGGTTGAGGGTAACCATGTTGTGGACCCGGGCCACTAGAAAGGTATCCTCCATCGTCACCCTCGTCATAATACTCAGAGCCGCTAGCATCGAAACTGCTTCTACCACTATGATCATCATCGATATTGTTGTCACCTTGAGGAATCTCTGACCAGCTTAAATTTGCAAGCGCGGGGTATTGTGCGAGAAGTGCAGCAGGTAAGCCGTAATTTCCACTCGAATCAACGGCAAAGCCATTAGCATCTTGACCCATAGGCTGTTGTTGCATATGCATGTTTTGCATCCGTTGCTCTTGCCACAATCTTTGTCTCTCCAGAGCCTCTTCATCCAACAAAGGTTTTATACAGATTCTGCCAGCCTCAGATCTGAAATGTCGACCCAACGCATCAGCTCTAGCAAAGCGGCGACCACATCCCCATTGGCCGTGTTGTTTCAGCTCGCCTTTACAAACGAATTTTTTCTCTCCAGAGTGAAGACCCTCGTGACGCTTCCGGTCATGTTGACGCGCAAAAGCTTTGCCACAAACTGTGCAAACGAAAGGTCGCTCATCAGTATGTGTACGCAAATGGGAGCGGAGATTGTAGGCTCTTGTAAAACGCTTTGGACAAAGGGTACACTGGAATGTTGCCGGGTGTTTTTGCACTCGCTTTGCACTGCCATTGTCGGATGATACTGCTTGGTAATCAGGATCTGCAAGACCAAGAATATAATCTCGATTAGGTAATGACGATGTAGACTGTCGACGTCGGCCAGGCGAAGTTGCCCCGGATCGATCATTTGGCGACAATGAGCGCGATGCCGATGAGTCATGACCTAATGGAGACAGAGAGTTTCTCACCAAAGGAGAGGCGTTTGAAGGACTATGAGGACGCGGGCTATTATATGGGTCCGAGACAGCTCTCCTACGACGACCTGAAAGAATTAGCTATAATCACGTGTAGGTAGTATCCATATACAACTTACCTCGGTCAGGTGGAGTTAATGCGTCTTGGTCAAGAGCTGATTTGGGAGGATCGAAACTGTTCTGTCTTGATGCCGGGGCAAACTCGACGTTAATCTCAGGGGGCACCATCTGTTGCGCCTGGCCCATGTCTAGAGAACTGTTATGTTGCATTGGTGGAAACGATTCTTGGCCTTGATTGTAAATGTTTTGAGAGGGAAACCCATTGTTCGCGTTCAGCATGAATGCATTTTGTTGATCCATGTTTGGTATTTGTTGAGGTCCGAGTCTAGGTGAGATTGCAGGACTATGAGCAGGGCTAATTCCGGCGTGAGGACTGGGATCAGTCAAAGAGAAGGAGCCGATTGCAAGAACGTCCTGATAAATTGAGTCTTGAGGGTGTTGCATCGGTGAGTGCTGTTGATCTATTCCTTCAAAGCTATCGTGGTGACCTAGATTAGGGGAGTGGGCAGCGGAAGAGATATCAGAGTATTCGGATGGAGTTCTGCGATGGCCTGTGAATTGCGGGGGCATCATACTCCAGTCACCAGGATTATGTACTAAAGGGAAAGCAGCACTCTCTGGGCCAAGCGATGCGTTTCGTGAATGGCCGGGTGATGGTTGAAATGGACCTTGATTAAAAGAAGGAGATTGGTGGGCGGAAGCTGGTGATCGGTTATCAGGTTGCAACAAGTTTGGTGGTGTTGGTGTATGCGTGGGGGGTGACATGTTCAACTCTGCAGGATTGATGGATGGATTTCCAGATTGAGGCGCAAGCTCATTCATGAAATAAGACTGGTCAAATTGCTCGTTTTGTCCACTATTGGGATACAACGAGAAGTCTCCGTCAAAATTGGCACTTAGAAGCTCTTGGGTAAAACTTCGCTGCGGGGGAGCAAATGATGATTGATCTTCTTGTTTGAATTGAGAATAGTCCTGTGTTTGGCTTGGTGCAAAATTGGCATCACCGAGTCCACTTTGAGTAAATTGCTGAGTTGGATTCAAAAATTCGTTGTTATCAACATAAGTAGGGAGTGTTGTGTTTTGGGTATTAAAGTTATTCTGAAACTGTTGGTGGTTGTTGATGCTCGAAGGATCCAAAGCAATGCCTAATCCATTCATACCATCTTGGAAGGCATGTGGAGAAGGAGAATGATTTCTTATATGTTGGTGACCTCCAGATGGAGATCTTCCACGTTGTGAATCCATGTTGAAAGTTTGTTTGCTCCTTCTAAAAATATCAAAATACTGCGAGGTTGTCGAGTATAGCAGTGAGCCTTACAGGCACGGTGGCAGTGCAAGTCAATGAGGCTTAGCAGCGGATATCCAGCCAGATCGCAAGCAGTTATTGGTTGAATTGATTGAACTTCCAAAATAACTATGAAACTTTGTTGAATTCCTGTGTAGGTAAGGGAGCTATGCGAACATGCAGTTCTTTGTTCGAGCTTATGGACGTTGTTTTTAGAGCTTTGGAGGGGAAATTCCACCGGAATCAAAGGCGAAATGAGGTAATCTCGATAATGGGATTGCGATTGCGCTTTCCACCTGTTCCGCAGACTGCTATTGAAACGATTGGTATAAGCCGAAAGAAATGCTTTCGAAGATGCGGGCCCCTGATGTAGAATTTCCTTTCGAATCGAGTATTGTAATTCAAGAATAAGCGCCAACAGAATGTTGGATGTTGTTTCCAAACTTGGTCGCGGTAGTAGATCTTTTCACGCCTAAAGTCGAGTCGTTCGCGATGGAGTGGGGGGTTATTGAATCTGCGTTTGTGAACCGCTCCTTCGTCTGGGACCACATATATGTATTAGCAAACGTATTCCATCATATTTAAGGCCAGAAATCTGCGATAATAATGGTCCGTTCAGGTATTGGAGAATATGGTTGAGCGCATGGCTGGAAACCAGATGAGTTTGCCTGCTGGCTCGAGTCTATTTCGACTTCACGGCCCAAAGATAGATCCAAAACACCATACCAACCAACAACAAACAAGAGATAATACCGACTTACATGAGAATGGTAAGATGTCAAAGATTTTGTGCCTCTCTAAACTTTGGTGAGATAACGTTATTCACCCTGAGCGTGTCTGTATGAGGGTCGCAAGTTGTTGATTTTGTTTAATACATTTGATGACATTGAAATGCTTATCGTTTCGGGGACAGTCCAGTTCTACAATCGCTTAGAGCCTTACCGCAAACCTCCGTGTATGTACGAGTGGTGTGTGTCGGCCGTTCTACTGGAAGGACAGAAGCAACTAATGAAATGATTTTTGGTTTGATGTTGCTTCACATATATACTCCTTTACTTGTTGAACACACCATTTTCTATTATTGTCAATCTTACCACGGTGTGAAATTGTGAATGAGTAAGATTTGGAGGAAAAGAAAGCCATGTCACTTTACATTCACAGGATCAGCCAGTCTCTGGATTCATTCACAGAGCTTGGTATAGTATTTTAGTACGAAGTAGGCAAGATAAGTTTATTATTTCAAATGTTATACATTCAGATGATTATATTCAAAATTAAGGTCTGACATCTTACCAAGGTCTCCCCTATGAGCTTCATTCTTTGAGAAAGAGCGAAGCCTTGAAGTAAAAATCAACCATTCTCATTTATCCCAAACCCAACCAACGGCTCCCCCCTCCCGCTCGTTGATAATGCTTGTGATTTGCCTTGTAGTTACAGAGGACGCAAATCATCGTGGCCAAAGCTTTAGTCCTCGTACAGAAACACGCTTTTTGTCAAACATGTCACATGTGAAGAGGAGAAGCTGGAGATGTTAATAAGTACCAGAAATCACTTACTTCATAATTTGGAGGGGAATCGTATTGATAGTTTGTTGATTTTGTTCAGTTGTTGGTTGGTGTAGGAATTCTCCCTTCAAGAGTCAGTGCATAAGTGCATGAGTGCATGAAGCGATAGCGATTCATTGTCCACATACTATTTTTGCTTGGACTGCTCCAACGGTCAACAGGTAGGTAGGTAGGTACCTTTTCTTTCGTGAATGAATGTAAGGTACAAGGAACAATTACTACCTACCCATCGAATCTGATTGGTACGCCCGCAGCCATAGCATCCGTCGCGTCCAACTGTTGGGCCGTAATTATATCGTTGGTGAACTTCCTCCTCCGTCCTCGCTCGTATTCCAATTACCATTCCATTACCATTACCTCAACATCCCTTTTCGCCAAGAGATCAATAGCTACATAAATACCTTCTATCATTCTCATATGGAAATGTGGATACACCTTAACCCGTCTTTGTGTCATTCAATGTCAAAATGAAATCTACTGGCCCTCTCGAAGATAATCAATATTGATTAGTCTGGCTAAGGTATGGTATGAGGCTATGGCAGGTGTATTTATATGTATCTGCAACAAGAACCCTACATATGAACAAACCAATCTGCTAGACGGGAGTGACAGGCAACTCTTCAATATATAGCTGAAAAAAAGTGCTCCACCAACATGCAGCTTGCTTCTTATGAACCAACCCTCTTTGCATCAATTGACTCATGATGAGCTGTTTGAACAGAGTATCTGAAAACGTACTAGCTACTATATACTCTGTGTTCTGTTTCTGAATCACCATGAAACTTTTGATGGTGTCATCACGTCTGCAGCAAATGCTCTTAGTGAGAATTGGTCTTGCAGTAGAAAAGTGGATATTTTCCGAAGACTTAACTCTACTCTATATATGTAGAATGAAAATCGTAAACACCATGATAATTTGGTGAGAATATATACCCTCAAATCACTTTTCTCAAAGAGTAGGTAATGCAAGACTATAAGCTTAGTTATCGAGTTTCATAGCTAGATACTGCACATCATCATTTCTTTGCTCAGAATGTTGGGATGAGGCTTTCGGCAACCGCGTTTCTGCAGCATCAAGAAGATGGCCCCGTCGCTTGGCAGTTTTGGCAGTTTCTTTGCCATGTAGGTTCTTTTGTAGGTTCTTTGCGATTCATTGATCCGAGCATGTTTGATCACCATATCTTACAAACAAACTTAACTCTTCAGTATGACTATAAACTCATGACCCCTTTATACTTATCATCAAAATAATGACGGACGATAACACCCCATCCTCTTCGAGCGCGCCAAAACAAATTGGCAAGATTGGACGGTACCAAGGACCCTCTGGCTGGCTATCACTCAGTACAGAAAGCACAAGCCCTATGGCAACACATGGGCAAGGCACCTTGACTAAACTTATCAAGAATCAATCAAACGGATCATTGGTAACCATGCGGCGGCAGTCTGGTTCAATATTGGGTCGAGACTCGTTGGATGATGAAGAGCGCCCGCGCAGTGTATTCGACGACCGCGATGATTTCAGCGAAAGACGTTTGAGTGCTGTGCTCAATGGACCACAGATGCGCAGTCAACGCCTCATTGGCAATAGCAATCCTCGATATAAATGGGAGAGATATTGGAAAACTGAGGAAGAACTCAAAAGCATGAAGAAGCCGATGTACGTCACTCCAAGTGTTACTCAAGCACAAACATCCAGCCTTATGACCAAAAACTGATAAGTCTCACAGACGCCAGTACTACGAACGAACCAATTCTCTCATTCAACAATATATTTACATTGATCGGTTACTCGATTCTTCAATCCCTCATGATCTCCTCAATGAATACGAACACAATGCATGCAGTGGACGATTTGAAGTGCCCACGACGATATCAGAAGAACCGCGCACTCCCCCAGAATCAGAAACTCCCACCAGTAATGGCAATGGCACTGGATCTGTCCCGAAGAGAATCAAGCGGACACCCCGAGAGATCTATAAGGTCACGGAGGAGACGCCTCTTCTTCTCTCAGAGGAAGATAGCGAATACGATGGACCAAAGCCCGAAATTCCCGGTATGGAGGACGACAGTGTGGAGAGTGGTGATAGGATTGTACAAATTGCGATTTATATCAATCTAGTAGCCAATACAGTTCTTCTAGCTGGTAAAATTGCTGTCATTGTGTTGACAAGCTCTCTTTCGGTCCTTGCTAGTCTTGTTGATGCAGCATTGGATTTCCTCAGCACAGCCATCGTTTTTACAACTACCAAAATGATCGAACGTCAAGATCAATATTCGTATCCTGTTGGCCGTCGGCGCCTCGAGCCAATTGGTGTCCTTGTGTAAGACAGTCCTCTTCTACTCATAGCTTTCGCTTGCGCTAGAGTTGATGTAATTTCATTTCGATCAAATGCTAACTCAATGGCGATGTAGCTTCAGTGTTATCATGGTTACATCTTTCATTCAAGTGGCATTAGAGTGTTTCAATCGACTCTCTTCAGACGATCGTGTCATTATCGAGCTTACTTTGCCAGCCATTGTTATCATGTCTTCAACAGTCTTCATCAAGGCACTTTGTTGGCTATGGTGTCGACTTATCAAGAACTCCAGTGTCCAAGCACTTGCCCAAGATGCCATGACCGACGTTATCTTTAACATTTTCAGTATCATTTTTCCTCTCGGTAAGCCCATTGATAACCCCTCTTTACTCCTCATGATCTAACAAACATACAGTCGGCTTCTACGCTAAACTATGGTGGCTTGACGCTCTCGGAGGTCTTCTCCTTTCTCTGTTCGTCATCATAAACTGGGCCGGTACATCCGCCGGCCACATACGTAATCTCACTGGTGCTGCTGCCACCGCCGACGAACGCAACGTTCTTCTCTACCTCACCATGCGTTTCGCACGCACCATCAAGCAAATCCAAGGTCTGCAAGCATATCACGCCGGCGATAAACTAAACGTCGAAGTCGATATCGTGCTGGATGAAAGTATGAGTCTCCGTGATAGTCACGATTTGGGTGAATCGCTACAGTATGTATTGGAATCGGTACCCACGGTTGATAGAGCATTTGTTCATCAAGATTACGCGGGCTGGAATCTACCAACGCATATGCAGCAGCAGGGTGAATGAATGAATGAATGAATGAATGAATGAGTAAAGCATAATTGGGCGGTTGCTACTCTTTCGGCATTGTTTTTGAGATGCCTGTGGATATGACACCGATAGACTTTTCTGATTCCTGGATGATATCACAAGGGAGTTTACCTACCTGCGGCGTAGCAACTTGTATTATAGAACATCTTTTTGTATAAATGATTCTCAATTCGGTAAAGCAGACATGATATGATACAATAAATACAACACAATTATTAATATTTTCTCTATCTAAAATGAATTATGTGAGTTTTGAACATTGAGTATAGCGTAGAAGCTCACTGTGGAAACGATTCAAGCGAATGATTTCAACCCCCCTCCTTTTCACCTCTCCATACATTCCAGAATCCAAATACTATATTTCTGAATCTCAAATCTCAAATCTCAAATCTCAAATCTCAAATCTCAAATCTCAAATCTCAAATCTCAAATCTCAAATCTCAAGTGATAATCGTTTGATGGGGGATACTTGAAAGAGGAAACTTGATAGGTGAAAGGGGTGAGTGAGTGAGGTGAGGTGTAGGTTTGTTTTGGGGGAGGGGGGGGGTTATATTTTGTATTAGGTTGTAGTGACGGGATGATGTGGTGCGGTTCGGTTTGATGTGGTATGGTATGGGGTTTGGGTAGCAGCGAGAGAGTGGGATTATTATTATGATATGTATTCTATTTACGTATCCATTCTATCTATTTGGCAGAGAACCTAGGCTAGGGTTAGGGCTGATGAAGACGCCGACGGGAGTGAGTGATTATGGTTTGGGGGGATCAAGGATATTTAATATTTAGCAGTGGGGGTGAGATTTATCTCGAATTCTACGACACGTGTACGAAAGGGGGATAATGAGATGATGGGTATGATAATGGTTGATAATGAGATGAATTAAGTTGGAAGTTGGGATTGGGTTGATTTGCACACATGTATGTTTGTAAAAGCAGGAATTTCTCGAATTTCTTCAAACCCAAAAAAATATGGAGTTGCTTCGAATTTCGAAAATTGCACAGTAAGTTTGGAGTTTCGAATTTTCGATGGAGTCGTCTCCAATCTATACAAGTGGATCTTCGGCGGGTGATTTCTAGGGATAGGGAATAATAATAGGTAGGCAAGGCAAGCAAGCAGGGTCCTGGAGTTTTGATGGACACAACGATCGTACACAGTCCAAGGAGAAGGGGCCGGCCAGTCGTCGTAAGGTTGAAGTGGAAGGGTTTCTTCGAATTTCGAAATAGATTTATGTTGATCCGATCCACAGATGTCATCCACAATAATCAATTGAGAACCCTTTATCGGGCGAATGATGGCGATGTTGCAATGGTGCTGCAGGAAAAGTTAATACATGTGAAGGAGTAGATATATGAAAAGGAGATTGGAGGCTCCTTGATGGCTTTTTTGTTCGGGTATCAATTTGGGATAAAAGGGTTTTGTTTAGACGCTGGGGTGAACGGTTGTCTAGGTAGCAGCAAATGGTGAAAACCGACAATGGGAGGTTTGAATGATCCTATTTTCGGAATCGTATGTTGATTTGAGATTGAGTTGGCTTATTTACGCGTTTCACGACATTTTGGATGGGCATGTATGGTTGTGGTAGGGACTTCTGTTTGGTAGTTAAACATTATCCCATCCCATTCAAAATTGTTTGAGGCTGTGTCGATCAATTCACGTGTTATTGTCATTGGAATGGAGGAATTAATGTTCGGTTGGTTGAAGTTTGAAGGTTCCCAAAAAAAGTCAAAAAGGTGTATAAACTCGTATTACAACCATCGCATGGTCAAAATTAGTGGAATGCGGAAAAGACGTCATGTCGAAAGGGTTTCGAGAAGATTTCGGGTCCGGTGAAGATTCGTATTTGTGGGTTCCGATTTGATGGATTTTCTGAAATGCCAGGTGGTGGAGTTCGAGCCCCTTAAAATATGTACAGAGCACCTGGGCACAGTATCCATTCTGGAGTCTTGTGGATAGCGAAATGTTATTTTTAAGTTTGAGGTCTGAGATTTGAGATTTGAGATTTGAGAGATTTGAGAGATGTTAGAGATATCAAAGACATTAATGTCTAGTAAGTAGTAACTCAAGGTTCTCGTAGGGAACTCGAGGTAGAGTTGTGATCTTAATCTGGCTTGTGAGAAGAGGGTTTGACGCATAAGTGTAAAGGAGTAGTAAGGTGAGTGCATACCTGATGGTAATCAAACGAGGAGATTGGATGGGTGGCTGAATGTTTCCTGGCGGCACGGCATTGATCATAAAGAATTCAAGGACTGTAGTCGATGATTGGGATTGGAATTGGGATTGGTGAAGAATTCTCTTGGTGCAACAGCCGAAAGGAACCAGGGGTCAGAGATCTTTGGGAAAAGCGTCATGCAAGAGGATAAAAAAGGAGTCGAAGTTCTGTTTCCCTCGACCTATCGAGTCCAGCACCCTCTACACATGCTCAAGGATGGAGAAATGATGCATTTCTTGTTGATCATTGGTGTCACCGTAACGAACGAAAGAAGAATGATACATGAGGGCATACATCGTGATGGAGGTCGAGACGTGGAAGGAAGAAACACCTAGGCAGTGATAGAAGAGAAGAGAAGGGAAGAGGGAAGATGTGATGTGGGATACTCGATGGGGTTGAAAGCATTCATGTGATGTGATTGATGGAGGAATGGGGTGGAGGGTGAAGGTAGATGGTAGATGGTAGGTGGTGCATGGTACATATTTCCAAATGTGCTCGGATTACCGTTTATATATATTAGATAGTCAATGACAAAAGACCTTGGGATGGTGATGAGAAAGGTTTCCTTTTTGTTAAGAATACCCATCCAACCTTTTTGATGGCATTGATGTCAAGGTACCCAATTATACTTTAATACTTCCACATCGAGTAATAAATGGATTGGGTAGTTTTCTTGTTCCTGGACTAACAATGAATGACAACCCAGCGTTTACCGGACTACATCAATCTAGGCATAATGAGGAGTAGTGGGAGGGAATGCTTTTATATATACATGTCACCAAACACACAACCTCCAGTAATCAACAGGATCGATTAGTCTGTTCCTGCACTTATACCTTGTTGATATACCTACCTAGTGTATATACGCAACCTCCTCCTTATTATACCTCCGCCCACCTCCCTCCGTACCGGTACTCAGACCCCAGCAGTCAAGCAGTCAGTCAATCAATCAAGCCATCACACACTCTGTGCACGTCAACAGACTGGAGAGTGGTGGTAGATATGCGATGCGTTACGGTAACCTGGAAGGGGAATACTACGATGATTCATGGCTCAGGAGATATAAGGTACCCAATACCAACAGTATTTTCCGCATCTAGGGACCCAGTCCTCCGTGCGAAAGAGTAATACACTTCCTTGGGCTCCCACGGTCCCTAGTGCAAGGAGGAAGAGGAAGAGGAAGAAAAGAAAGAAGAGGAAAAAGGTTCTTATTCTTGAGCATTAGTATCGTAGTAGCATTAGTAGAAGTATTAGTCGTAGTATTAGTTGTCGTATCTACTAGGTATTAAGGAGGCACTGAGATACTAGATACCTAGGTACTCATACTTAGTCCTATCACCCAATCATTCATCCATTCACCCAAGCAACCCATGAATTTCTCATCTCCATCCAAACATTCCACCTCCATAAGCATCCATCTCCTCGATTGCCTCCAGAACTAATAAACTAAAACTATCGACCTACCTAGGTACCTGGTAAATACCTACCTAGTACTGGTTCTCTCTAACCTTAACATTCACATACATTCACATCCATCCATCTCCCTCCATTATCCATCTCCCATTTATTCATTATTAACAAGAAAGGAAGAAAGAATTCATTCCTGATCTTGTTTTTTTTGGATTACCTACTTAGCACCTCCTACTGCCTTGCCTTGCCTTGCTGCCTGTCTACCTACCTAGTACCTACCTGCCTACCTACTTTATCATCCTACTCTATTCACACACTCGCTCACTCACTCACTCACTCATCCACTCTCTCATCCACTCTCTCATCCACTCTCTCTCTCCCATTTTAAAACATCACATCACATCATCATATTGAATTGAATTCTTCAATAATTGATTGCCCTTTTGCATCTTGCTAATTTAAAGACATTGCATTTTGTCTAATCAAGTCCATCGCTCTCTCTCTCTCAATCAATCACTATTGAATTTTCTGTTTCATCTCCAATCTTTTTTCTTTTCTTTTTATTCTCTTTGCGTCTATCGTTCGTGCTACTGGGGCTGCTCTCATTCTCTCGTTCTGGCAGTAAGTAAACATCACTCTGCTTTCAATTTCTATATTTAAATTGCGCCTATAAACATCAACAATCCCCAAAAATTTCAGCTCTACTATCGTACATACTACACACATACCTTTCCCCCAAACGCCATACGTCAACTGCAAAAAAAATTCATTTGGCAGCCAGAAGAAAATATGTTTATTTAGGACAAGGTTCATTCACTACTACCATTTGTCCATAACCAATCTTTGCCTGGCCGGGGCTTGAAAGAGTTGTTCAGCACCTTTCCATCACCAACCTTCTCTCACCCATCCTTGCCTTCCGAGGATATACTCGGCGAATAACACCACATTGGCTTGCTTCCATTTCAACCTACACTACACCGGTCTCGCTCTACAACAGCATGGACCTTTGATGAATCTGTCGATCTATCGAAATACTGGAGACTTGCATTTTCATCTGTTCTAAAAGGATCTTGCTAACCTCGCCTGTGGCCATTGCAATAGTCCCGTTTCCTCACATTTTCTCGCACACGTCTTTGCCAACGAAAACTTGCGTATTCAGCTCAATGTTCATGACTTATTTTCTTCAACATTGATTCGTGAATTTCCCCTTCCAACACTTCAATCCTTTGCAGATCAAACATACCAACGGCATCGAGCCTAGTATCCCCTATTTGGATACCTTTTTTCAGTCATTACTACTGAGAAGCTCGAGACCGGCAATCTCGTCTTCCAAGCAATAAATACAAACTACATGCCTTTAATTCCGAAGAGTTTTGGGCGACGCAAGTCGACAGCAAATGCATTGGAGAGTCCCGAACCTCCCGTCGAATCGTCCTTTAAGGTTTTCGAGCGTCCTCCAGCTGGGGGTCATAAGTCTGGTCCATCTTTCGACGGTGGAGTAAAATTTGCTAGAGCAAGCGGTACAGCCGATTCGCACAAGGAGGACAACCTTTTCGAGGGCATGAAAGTTAATACTGTCAATCGGTTAGTACTGAAATTCCACCTGGGTGGGAGGTTCAGGGGACCTACAACTAGGGTACACCCTTGGCATAATAAGCTGATAAATTTCAAGTGGTAGTGGAGCGTCAAATACGAACACCGCATCGACCACAGATAATTCTTCAAGGTTAAGTGCAGCATCTACAGCCCCTTCATCGATGGAGACACCTGGCCACGAAGACTGGAGAACACCACATGATAGACACAGCGACGTTCCCCTGCCGCCGCTACCAAAGACATCGTCTGGATTCTCTCTGAAGAACGCTGGAAGAACACTCTCTTGGGGTAGAAACAAAGCCACTCCTTCTCCATCAAAAGTATCAGACGAACTACCACCTTCCCCAACTATTCGCGACGATAGCGCCTCGAGTCGAACCCGCGCGGTAACTGCATCCAGCTACGCAAGCACGGCTACACCACCAAAACTCGGAGAGAGAGATTTGGATCTGACAATGGGTGACGACTTTGGAGACATGTTTGCTGGAATGGCGCACCGAAGGAGTGCTGTTCAAGATTCGCCTGGCGTCAGAGGATTTACCAAGAGCCCTGTAAGTCGAGTCGCTACCATCAACGTGGATTCACTAACACGAAGCAGGAAATACTCCCACCCGAGCCAGCATTGAAGTCGTACTCTGCTAATCGTGCTAACCAACCGTCACCCCTTATACTTGACAAACGCAAACCCATTGAAGACCCACCATATTCTTGGGGATCAAACGATGGACTCATGAAAAATACTAGTCCACCTTCAGTGGTCACTCGTAATATGGGACCTCCTGCTCACCAGCCTCCTCCGGTTCCAAGGCATGGTCCTTTGCATCAAACTGATGGGAACCAAGCCATCCCAAGACCGCGTTCAAGTGCGCCTCGCCCCGACTCGACACTTAAGAGAAGCAGTGCTCTTTCCATGCGCCGCCACTCCACATTGGAATTTGATGGTGTTGACGAGGACGCTGCACTCCTGCGCGAGTCTGTCAATGCGAGCAGACATCTGGGTGAAGCACCAAGCAATCCTCAAGCCCGAAAAAGCTGGGCACTCCCTTCTCAAGCAGCATATAACGCCAAGGCGACTGCAAAGACCCAGCTCCTCGAGCCAGAAGAAGATGAAGATCTTTTTGAATCCGCCGATTTAGCTCAGCAATTCCAGGAGAGGTCAGAATCACCCCCTCCTTCGAGGCAGGCTCCAGTGAACAAGGTTATGACACCGGCCCAGTTCGAACGATACAGACAAGATCAAGAGCGTTTGAGAAGTGTTGGGGGGCGCCCGAAAGATGAAGAAGCTGAGGAGGAAGAGGAAGAGACTTATGATGACGATGAGGACGAAGCCGAGAAGAGCAAGAATGCTGCCAAGCAACGACGAAAGCAGGAGGCTCACATGTCAGTGTACAGACAACAAATGATGAAAGTCACCGGAGACTCGACACCTTCGCCAGGCCCATCCCGACCTTCAATGTATAGCAGCCACAGTACTCCCAACTTGGTACTCGACGGTGCGACGGAGGATGGAGAGGAGGAGGATGAAGAAGTTCCTTTGGCCATTCTCGCTGCTCATGGATTCCCAAATAAGAACAAGCCACCTACAACCAGACTAACTAGCATGGGATCAAACCCTAATCTTAGAGGTGCTGCTCAAGGTGTTCCAGGTATTGGAGGACCTTTGCCTGTGTTTGCTCGCAACTTGCCTCAAGACCCCTATGTTGGTGCAGGCCTCGTTTATCCAGCAAATAGAGAGTCGCTGGCATTCGGGAATGGTGGCCCAGGGTCTATGAACGGCACTCCAAACAGAGGTGCTCCTCCCGGAGGCCTCGTAGGCGTCATTGCCACGGAAGAACGCTCTCGAGCCGCGCGAAGAGGAAGCCCAAATCCTGGATATGGCCAGATGCCTCCTGGCGGCTTCACTGGTATGGTTCCTCCACCGATGATGGGACAAGTACCCATGGGAGCGGGCGCATTAGGTATGGGCCAGATGGGACCTATGGGAGGAATGCCTCAGCCAATGCTCACTCCTGGTGATCAAGCTCAGATCCGGATGACGGAACAAATGCAATCATTTATGCAGATGCAGATGCAATTTATGCAAATGATGGCAACAAACCAAGGTGGACAAGGTACCCCACCCCCCAGTGGCGCGCCACAGCTTGGTCCACTGGGTCAATTGGGACCAATGGGTCACATGTCTCAACCAAACTTTGGTGAGATGCAACGACCTTCAAGTCAGCAATTGCCTACTAGCAACTCGGGCCCAAACTTGCGACCCGGAAGCGCACAACGTACCATGAGTATGCTTGAACCTAGTGGCATGCCTTGGTTGCAGCAGCAAAATGGCCAAGGATTCTTACCACCGCCACACGCTCAAGGCAATGGTTATGCTCCATCAATCGCGCCGTCTGAACGAAGCAATGTTGGATTGCCTGGTCGATATAGACCAGTCTCACAGATTCCTCTTACCGATGCCAAATCAAGGACCGCGACCATGTCTGGTGCAATTGGTGGTTGGGACAGCAAGCATGCCTCGACAATCAAGACTGTTCAGAGAGTAGATAATGATGATGAAGATGATGAGGAAGGGTGGGCGGAAATGAAAAAGAAGAGAGAGCAGAAGAAGTCTATTTGGAAATCAAAAAAGGATACTAGCGGTCTCTCAGAAATGCTTGGTTACACGCAATAATAATCTCATGGGTGGATAACTCGCTATTAGATGCTTCTGTATGTGCATTTGAAGGGGATAGCTTTGTGATATATAGCATGAAAACTTTGGCGTTGTAAGACTTGGGGCATTGAACTGGAAATCATACCTATGGCATGACTGCTTGTATAGTAGTAATATAATTTTCTTCAGATCTGGGCGGGTTTCTTTTTTGATCTTTCTTTTTGTTTTAATGATCGAACTCATACCGCCAATTAATCAACGACTTTTTTTACCATTGTTTTTTCAGTGTGAACATGTGCGGTCCTTGGTGAATCAAATCTAGAAGCAAAACATCACCTCAAATGCTCCAATCATCCAATCGTCCAATAATCCATACTCCTTCTTTCCTTCATCACTCAATCCAAAATATGAATAGCAATTACATTCCCCCTCATGCAATTTTTCCGGCAGCCCACTCCCTCTTCTTAACCCCCAATTCCACAGCGGCGGCAGCCCAATCCTCTCCGTGATTATGACCCTTCCCCTTCTCGGTTGTACCCACACCGGCTCTCATGAGCGCTTGATCCTCCGTGAGAACGGTCAAGAGTCCAAAGATAAGCGGAACACCTGCGTCTAATTGGATGCGCATGAGACCTTGCGAGACGCTCTCGGCTATGTATTCAAAATGCATGGTTTCGCCTTTGATGAGGCAGCCGATGGCGATGATGGCATCGAAGGGGGCGGTGGAGGCGGCGGTTTGCGATTGCGTGGGGAGGGAGGTGAGATCGGTGGTGGAAGAGCCGAGGAGGTCGCCGGCGGAGAGGGAGGAGCTTTGCGTGGATTGGATTTGAGAGGCTGAGTAGAGTCTGGGGAGGGGGAGGGGGGGAGGTGGTTAGTTTTATTTATTTGTTTGTTTGTTTGTTTGTTTGCTTGTTTGCTTGTTTGGAGGAAGGGAGGAGGGGATTCATGGTTTATGGAAGATGGGAGATGCGGGATGCGAGTCAAGGGATGTATGTATGTACGAATGTACGAATGTACGAATGAATGAATGAATGAATGAACAAATCAGCAATAGAAGAAAAAGATCACGTACTTGGAACACGCAATGGGTAATTCCCAACTCCCGGGCACGGATTGCACGACGATATTCGCTTCCTTGACGCCGCTGGCCAAGAGCGTCTTTTTGGTACCGGCGAGCAGCGGCTCGATTATGGCTGCGTGGGGCGTGGTTAGTGATGTGATGTGAGGTGAGGTGATGTGGTACGATACGGTACGGTACGGTACGGTTTACGGTACTAGTAGGGCTTGAAGGGGGAGAGAGTGTAATTCTGGGGCGGTCGGGAAGTACTCACAGGTATTCCAGCGCGCGTGGACGATTCCGATGCGGAGGGCGCTGCCGTCGTGTTTTTGGGCTTCGCCGGGTCCTTTGAGGGAGGTGTCCATTTTTGGGTTTGGGATTTGGGGTTTGGGGGTGAGGGTGCGTGGATGGGTGGGTGGAGGATTGGGTTGAGGGTTTGATTGTTTGATTGTTTGCTTGATTGTGTGTGGATGAGTGATTTAGTTGTGGTCTGGAGAAGTCGGAGGGGTTTTTGGTGGGGTGGATGAGGGTGGGAGGTATGAGTAGGCTCGGTAGGTAGGTAGGTGCATGGATCAATTAATACCTAGTAGGTAGTTGGAGCTCAAGGTTGAGCTTACCGGTGATGCCGCAATTTTCTACATAACGGTAGCTAGTAGGTAGGTACGTACTGTGTTCAATATTCGATTACAAATGAAGCATTCATTATTTGTATTTTAAATTCTTGTAATCTTGATTAGAAATGTTGAATCTACTCGATTAACAGAGGGCATGTAGTTCTAAACATTACTATGGTTGTTGCATAGCATCACAATGCTAGCATTTTCAATTATCCATTCAATCTGAGTGCCATTTCATCCATATCAGGGAGGGAGTGAGCTTGGACCATCTACACCTCCCGCCACCAAGGCTCGCCAGGGCCGTTTCAGACCTAATTCCAGAAAGGGCACAACGGTAAGATGACAAGATGGTACTTTCCGTGTAGGAAGGAGTTGTTTCGATATAAAAGCTGTAGAGATACTCAACACATACACTGGGACATACACTTGCTCCATCTCATTCGTTAATTGGTGGTAATCTTAATTGATAGCAGAGTTTCTCAGAGTTCTTATTTTAATTCACTTCAACACAATGGCGTCGTCTACCACTCCTACTCCTGCATCCCAGCCCACTCGTGCTTCTTCCAGACTGGGTCCTTGGATGCGATTGAATGGACTTTCTTATTCTCAGTTGCCCGAGGCAGGTATAGGTATCGAAGCAGCCAGTGGAGCTATAAAGCCGTTGAACGGTGGTGGTCATCCTACTAGAAATGCGAAGACATTTATCACGGCAGTACTCGAAGAGGCGATCCCGTTTCTTAACGGAATGGTCCAGAATGAACCACCCTGGAAATTGCTCAAGTCTAAGACGGGCGTTCAGTTGTATAAACGTGTCGTTTCCAAGGAAGAACTAGATTATTGCAATGGGACACACGATAAAGCAACAAAGAAAGCAAATGAGGAAGGGGAGACTTGGTTTGCTAGAAGAAGTATTCATGAGAATAAAGCAGAAGCGAATACAGCTTCTTGGGACGAATTTACTCTCCACATCAAGCAAGAACACTTTGAGAGAGAGAAAGATTGGTGTCACTCTGTGCTCGCCAGTAGCAGGAGAGCTATGTACTGGGAAACGAGCGATTTCGAGATTGTGGCTGGTGGAAAGCAATGGAACAACATCTCAATGGAAGTGGTAGAAATGATTCATAAGCCCCCGGTTGTCTCTGAGCGAAAGTTTCCTGAGGTACTGATTACTGCATCACTTAACGAACCTGGACAGCGTGAATTTTTGGTTATTTCAATACCCATAACCGATTCGGCCAATGCCCGGTCACAAAATTCCAGCTTCCAAGAATCCGGGTTCGCCTCCGCCAAAAAGAAAGGTCAAGTTGTGGGGGCTTACGCATCGATTGAACGATGTTGTCTTCGTCCTAACCCTAATAGTACAGTTGGGGAGATAGAGTGGATAATGGCTACTGCTGTAGGAATCCTCTGTAAATATTTGTGCTGTATATTTGCTAACTGATGTAACCTTATAGTCAGATGCCAAAGGCTGGATACCTCAATTGATACAGAAGCCCAATATACCAGGCCAGATTCAAAAGGATGTGAGCATGTACATGCGTTGGGTCGAAGATCAACGGATGTCAATACCTGACGTTCTTCCACGATGAGCAGAATCACAACAATGATCGTAGACGGAGAGTCAACATTGATCGAAAAACTCCAAGGATCGATTTGATCAAAAGATATTCCCATATGACGAAATCAATCCTCCAATGGCGACGACTGTCCGATGGCAGTGTTTCCCAGCATCATCTAGCACTTTGCCTGGGTTTGAGAAATTGAATGGTTTTGAGCGTGGATGACTTTGCTTGCTAGACAGCAGCATGAAGCGATATGCGAAAGGGGGACAGGGGGTTCGTTAATGATTGCTATTCTTATAAATAACAATTCAAGCATTTACATCACTCCTCTGAGCCCAGAGCTCTTTTATTGCCATTGCTGTTCCCTCAACAATAAGTTTGTGCTCCTCTGCGTGCATTCTCGCCTCAAGTTCCTCTAAAGATTCAGAACTTTTGCACTCCACTTCTTTGACCACGATTGGTGTTCCACGATCAACTTCACTGATCACATAATGAATCATGAGGCCCGTCTTGTTATTCTCCAACTTGCCCTGTTGAAAATCATTGAAAGCCCGTCCAATAGCATTGGCTCCATCATATTTGCCTGGAAGTGCTGGGTGAAGATTTATGATTGGTATCTTTTTAGCAGTCAGGGGGTCAATGAATGTCGGTGCGAGAATATGCATCCAGCCAGCACAGATAATCTAGTGTTTGTTAGAATTGTTACAATATAGGGGAAATGAAAAGTGATTTGAAGACTCAAGAGGGACTGGATGTTGAAAAGAATCAAAGGGAATAATAATAAAAGTGGTCACTTACGATATCAGGTTGTTCTGAAATCACGAGATCCGCAAGGTCCGCATCATACTTTTCTCGCGCGGCTTTAATCACTGCGGGGTCCTTCTCATCTTTTTTGTGGTATTTTCCCGTCAACAAATTGTGACATGTTGTTGGGATGCCCGCCTCTGCTGCACGAGTAACTCCATACGCCGCCTTTCTATTTGTGATAACTCGAACTATCTTCAAATATGGCAAGGCGATTTCCGAGTCACTGGTCCCTTGCGAAGCATCAATGAGTGCTTGCAGATTGCTGCCATTTCCCGAGATGAGAACTATGGCCTTGGTTGGAGGAGGTGACATTTTTGCGTCGAGATGGAATTGCTTGGTAAGGAGGTTATTGTGTTGTGTTGATGTTAAGTTTTGTTACCATGGTTGGTTATTAACGAGGGGTGCACGTGGGTGTAAAATGAAATCAAAACTGTGAGGTGGGGAAATGAAATATCTATGAGAGTTGGGGGACGACTTGGTGGAGTCTATGGCAATTTAGGGCTGGACTAGTAAATATAAGTGTGGCCAAGGTTCTTCTTCGATTTATGATAATCAGACTCCAAGACTTTACAATATGGCCGGTGGTAAATGGACTTGCTGTCTCTCTTACATATTTTCTACCTAGGAATTCTTACTATTGCCCACAGAACTCCTTGATATCTGCGGGAGAAAAAGTCGACAAGTTCAAATCGATGGTGGGGTCGGGGCTGCCCAGGTATCTTACTTGTTACTTTTGGACATACGTATGTACAGCCATTAGAATCTGCCTCAATACGTTGTTGATAGATAATGCATAGATGTCTCAAATTGATATGAAGTGGCTAGCGGAATAACGCTGATGAAGAGAAATGCAACCTACCCTGCGTACAGAAACAAATCAAGATCTTTTCAGCTGAGATGATGATCCTGAACTGACCCGATGGTACCGCCGGAAATCTAATTCACATGTAAGATACGTATATCAGATTGTCATGCATGCACTCTCGCACTCCAGTCTCCAGGCACCATATGATCTCCCCAAGTTTAACAGCCAAGCTTAAAATGCATTAGTATTGATGATGATTTGCGCTCTTTTACCATGTACTCGAGCACACCGCAATTGAACAACAAAGAAACGGACGGAAAGAAAAGAACAAGACAATTAATTCTTCCCTCTTCTCCCATAGACTTTCTGCTAGACACTTATGGAGAATCTTCGTACGATCAGCTGAGCTTAGGTATTCCTTGTTTCGGAAATTTGATTAAGATCGGTTGGAAAGTAGGATTGACTCGTGCCCTGTGACACTGCATGGACTAGACTGACACAGGAGATCTGCATGCAATACTAGGTATTCCATTCAATTACCGGCACTGGCACTTCCCTACGTCAATGATTAAATAAGATAAAAAATTATTATAATCACTTCCAAGCTGTTAATGATTGTTTTCTCTCTTTTATACCCCAACACTGTAGCTACGGACGCATTTCCGCAACCATACCCAAGGCTTTGTTTGTAAAGGACCATTAGAAAGCACGCCTCGAATGGAGAACTGGGAGAAGCATGGTGTTGTTCGGATACCTTCAGACTCCACAATTTTGTGTCGTTAATAATAATACTACCGCTACATCTGCCAAATCTTCCAGTGCGAATGAATATGGGTATGATAGAGAGAAGGTTTCGGAGCCCTCGGTTGGCTTGTTTGGACCGGCAACCAGGATCCTGAGAACGGGTGCAGATATCCTCAACAATAAGATACTACAAGTGCGAGATGGGTTGACGGATGAAGAACGGTTTGCCTTGCGCAAAAAGGAGGAGAGGATACAGATTTTGAATCTGCGGATGAAGAACGCAGAAACGTCGGAAGTTTGGAGGAGTGCCGCGAAAGAATTAGATATACTCGAGGATAATGAAGCATGGAAACTCGATTCACTGTCGACCGACTTCGACGCTGCGTTAATCGAAGCGAGGACTAAACAGATGGATACGGCTAGAATCGATTGCGATATCAAGAAGATGCTTACATTGGTGCGCACAACACTGTCGAGGGATCTGGGAGGCATGGGCAACATTAGACTATACAAACACAGTCATGTTGGAACGAAAGTTCTCATCGAGAGGTATATTGAGTCGACGTTGGATACGATACGCGCATTGGTTGAAAACAGCAAGTATGCCTTGCCGGTCGGATTGGAGACAAAGGATATACTAGAGCAGGTTGTATATGCTAGGCAGGCTTTTGGGAGAAGTGCGTTACTACTGAGTGGAGGCGCAACTTTTGGAATGAACCACGTCGGGGTCTTGAAGGCTCTGTTTGAGGCTCGTCTACTGCCAAGAATCATATCGGGTGCTTCTGCCGGTAGTATAGTTTGTGCTGTGTTGTGCGCAAGGACCGATGAAGAGATCCCGGACGTTCTGAAGGAATTCCCGCACGGAGACCTTGCAGTGTTCGAGGAAAATGGAAACGACGACGGAGTTCTGGATAGAATCAGGCGGTTGTTGACAGAAGGCGCGTGGATCGATATCAAACACTTGACGAGAGTCATGCGGGAACTTTTGGGAGATATGACATTCCAAGAGGCTTACAATCGATCTCGTCGCATTCTCAATATATGTGTATCATCTGCCTCAGTATACGAGCTACCTCGACTACTCAACTATGTTACGGCACCGAATGTCATGATTTGGTCAGCGGTAGCTGCATCATGTTCGGTGCCTCTTCTATTTTCTGCAGCGGAATTGCTCATGAAAAATCCACTTACGGGAGAGACTTCGTCTTGGAATCCTACACCTCAACGTTGGATTGATGGGAGTGTGGACAACGATCTACCAATGACTCGGTTGGCAGAAATGTTCAATGTTAATCACTTCATTGTCTCTCAAGTCAATCCTCATGTTATACCATTCATCGCCAAAGACGAGGAAGCGGTCAAAGAAACTGTAATGAAAGATGGTAGTGGAGGGCCCGGCTGGGTCTATAATCTCACACATTTGGCAAAAGCTGAAGCTCTGCATCGTATGCAAGTTCTGGCTGAATTGGGTGTATTTCCGAATCTGGTAACTAAGTGCAAGTCTATCCTGAGTCAGAAGTATTCTGGCGATATCACAATTCTACCGGAAATCAATTTTAAGGACTTTCCCAGGATATTGAAGAATCCAACGACCGAATTCATGGAGCAGGCTTGTTTGTCTGGAGAAAGAGCTACTTGGCCAAAATTAAGTCGTGTATGGAATCACTGCGCCGTTGAACTGGAGTTAGATGCTGCTGTGCAGAAACTACGAGCGAGAGTAGTTTTTAGCCCAAGTGAGGTAAACTTAAGGCGGCTGAGGGCTGGTGAGGGCTCCCGACAGTCTACCGGACTGGGAAGACAGAGATTTGATAACGGAAATTTGTTGCTGATGTCGCGGGATGAAGATAGTGAATTTTCAAAGCAAAATGGGAAACGGGAAAATTCATCTCGCCCGCCACTCAGGGCAACAGCCTCGGTATTAGACATTACAAAACATCAAGAGCGTTCCCATTACACTGGACCTCTTTCTGCTCGGACTACTCCTCGTCATACGCCACGGTTAGGGCTAGAAGATGAAATGTTCAGCTTCCCTATTCCTTCAAGAGAGTTGCTTCAAATCAAGCACCAAATTCGAGATCTCTCATCTCCCGGAGAAACAACACTTTCACCGTCAAGCTCTGATGCCGATAACGAACCACAGACTGATGAAAGCACTACAGAACTAGAAGCAGATGAAGCTATATATGGTATAGCTAGCTCAACCGCTGATAGACAACTTGATTTATTCTCCAGAAATCAGCCCATAACTGCAGGAACGGATCGTGTTCTCGCTACATCTCCCTCGATTATAAGAAATGGGACGGAGTTTATATATTCATCCACAGCCATGTCACCAACTGAGATAAGACCAAGAGGAGAGAGAAAGAGCGTCACTGAACCGAGTAGTCCTGAGTGGAGTTATAAGAAAATGTTCCATCAGTGGAAGGAAGACGATATGAGGGATGCTGCGTAGATGGCGAGGAGCATAGGATACCATTTTCCACGCGAAACAGTGTGGGACTGATCTAAGTTGATTTTGTATTGAATGATTGGAATGAGCAATGATTGGAGTTTATGCATGGGATTGGGGCGGGTGGCTTGGATTTCGTTATAAAGAACTGAAGTTTGCAATATTGATGGTTGCACAGGATTGGCGTACATAAACTCTTGCATCAATAGCGATAGTCAAAAAGCATGATTGGATTAGTTAATAGGATAGAAGCATTATAAGGATCACAATTCTTTTCATAAATAGCATGTTACATTAATTTAAATTGGCCGTTAGCCATCCTTTGGGCTGAGATGAAAATCATGTACCTGCCCACTTACTTTGACTTGCGAGCTTGTATTGAAGGCCGTGAATTCCGCAGTCTGCCTTTGATTGACTTGCAAGCTATAGTAAAACCTCTCCATAAGAATATCGGTTTTTGTAGTCTTTTTTAAGGATATATAAAGATATCCAACGAATCCCAATCTAATAGTAAGTTGGTTCCGCTTAATACCGATCAAGACATTTCCGTGATATTTTTTTTTTCATTTTAATAAAAACTAAATAGAATACGAACTAATATATAGATTTGACTAAAATTTTAATATGTCTATTTTATAATAGCTGAATCCTAACGATTCTATTGATTTAATAAAGATATATAAAACTCTAGAATTAGAAATTGTAAGAATATCTTATAAGTTAATAGAAAGGTTTTAAGGATATAGATCATTTTTGGGTCTAGAAAATTTCAGGCTAGTAGGCTTCATAGTGGGTCAAATTACGTAATCCTCAACTCTGGTGCTCACAGACCACGCCATTCATCCCACTACTAAATTTTATGGCGGGGTCAGTTCATCGTTTCATCATAAGTACAGTACCTCTCTTGTACTCGTACACACAGAAACATTTATCACAACATAATTACAATTTTGGTTCCGGCAATCAAAATCAAAGATGGATTTCTATGCAACTTCGCAATACCCTGAGGGGGTGATCAGCTTTCTTGATACCGATCTTTACAAGTTGACGATGCAATGCGCCGTCCTAAAATACTTTCCCACCGTTCGTGTGACTTATGCGTTCAAGAATAGAACGCCGGAGAAGAAGTTGTCAAGAGCTGCATTTCGTTGGTTACAGCTTCAGATTAGCAGTAAGAACTCACAGCGAAAGTATTGATCTGAAATGAAGCTTATGAAAATAGAACTGGGAAATATTGCGCTCAAAGACGAAGAATTCCGATTTCTCCAAAACACCTGCACATACTTAAACCAACCTTACCTCAACTTCTTGAAAGAGTTCCGCCTAGATCCGCGAAATCAGATCGAGGCTACTTTTGTAGCAGACGATGATAAGGGGGAAGATGAGGACCTAGGAGAAGTTAATTTGGTGGTAAAGGGTTTATGGGTCGATACTATCTTGTACGAAATCCCATTGTTGGCTCTAACCAGTGAGGCATACTTTAAATTCATGGATACGGATTGGACATACGACGGACAAGAAGAAAAGGCATATGAGAAGGGAATGTCACTTTTAGAAGCCGGATGCATTGTGTCGGAGTTTGGAACCAGAAGAAGAAGAGATTATCACACTCAGGCTCTTGTGTTCCGCGGATTGGTCAAGGCGAAGAAAGCAGGAGAAGAGCGCAAGTTGGCAGGAAAGATTTCGGGCACGAGTAATGTTCATTTGGCTATGAGATTTGGAATTGCTCCCATAGGAACTGTCGCACATGAATGGTTTATGGGTGTCGCGGCTATCACGGATAACTATAGAAGTGCCACGGCTACTGCGTTGGACTATTGGGTGGGATGCTTCGGTCAAGGTGTTTTGGGTATTGCTCTTACAGATACTTTTGGTACTAAAGACTTTCTCCGGGTCTTCTCTCAGAAAATCCCATCTCTCACAACCGCCACTTCGGGGGCAGCTGCTACATTACCGTCGGCTAATACACTTACGACTAATGGAACGACTAGTACGAATCCGCCTTTGGACGCAGCGGGAGACACATCGAGCGAGGATACTCCAACATTTGCGCAAGCTTTCACTGGTGTACGACAAGATTCCGGCGATCCGGCAAGTTTTGTAAAGAAGATGCGTCAGTTCTACGATGAACAGGGTATCAAGGACAAGAAAACAATTGTCTTTTCTGATTCCTTAGACGCCGAGCTTTGCATAAAGTACAAGCAAATTGCTGAAGAATCAGGATTCCAGCCTACCTTTGGTGTGGGCACATTCTTCACAAATGATTTTGTTCATACAACTTCAGGCAAGAAGTCAACGCCATTGAATATTGTCATAAAATTAAGCTCTGCTGATGGTCAACCGGCTATCAAGATCAGTGATAATATTGGGAAGAATATGGGTGATGAGAGTACTGTTTTGAGGGTTAAAAAGGATTTAGGATATGTAGAAGAGGAATGGCAGGGAGGTGACGAGACAACAAGATGGGGAAAAGAGGGAGCTGATGTTGTGAAGAAATAATGGCGATATGGCACAGAGTATCAGTGTGTAGTTGGATTCATTGCATCAATATGGATGGCGTTTGAGTTTGATGGGAGGCGCTTTTATTTATTTATTTTTAGATATCAAGTGGATTTGGGATAGAGAAGCAATTGGTTAATTGCTGTCATAGATTTGCAGTTGGGCATTAATGAGAGGATATTTCTTGATCTCAATACTTTTCACTGCTCATTTTCCATGTGCTCTAGCCACTTGTAACTGTTTGGCGAAAGGTTTGGATAGGGATATAGATCTCATTGTTATTACCCAGTGGTAAAACAATGTAAGACTTTATTCAATGGTTACGTTTCCCAGAAATTATAGCTCTCCCTTCACAAATTACAGTACTTTTATACGGAGGACACGCAGATTCAACTAATGTCACAACGTTTGCCGGCTCCTCTTTCCTGTAATCAAGGGGACTCATCTTTCTTTCCCTTGTGTTCAAGGAGATGTTCTTCTTTACTCGAATTCTCTCTCCCAGTCTCTCAAAAAGGCAATATCCTTCTGCTGCTCACGAATATGCAGCTTCAACGACTCATCATCCTCTGCGCTACCGAAAACTATCAAATAAGATAAGCTGACAAGTCAAAGTCGGTGGTCTAGTATGGGGACCTCGTATATTTCATGCGTCGAATTGGAGAAAAGCGAGGTGAGCATTCGATGGTCACAGGGTTCAACAGAAGAGATATCTACCATTGTGTGCTGCGGGGAAGACGATGGGTAGTTGAAAAACTGATTGTCAGGCGCAATTTGCTTTGTTTCAGGAGTGGAAATTTCAGAGTGCGGCTTTGGAATTTGCTGCATTGCTATGTTTGAGGGAGACTATGTGTGCCCACTGAGCGCTCAGAGTCGTATGGAACGCAAATTTGGTGCGGTACAGTGTTGTGTATTTTATGTGTTTGGAAGACGGTGTCTTGATAGAACCTATCAGAGATACGGATGCAGGAATTGGCGAGGTGAGAAGGTATACTGTTGAGGAATAGATCGCCTTGGGAATGGCATCGTCCCGGGAGTATTTGGAGCCTGTGGGAAGTAACGGTGAGGTGGTCAGTTTAGTGCAGCAGATTGAGTTGAGAAAGCTGTTCCTGATCTTCTTGGAAACAAGATGTATTCGGAGCTTTTTACTCTCTTGTATGACAAATGTTTTTCCCGTAGCAAAGACAGCTCTATGATCAACCTCAATGAAGTCCATAATGCACACTTTCGTTCCCACTGGCACATTTTCGATTCAGGTCCTGTGGAGCATGATACTCGGTGCGTAGGCAATAACATCTTCAGATATTCAGCATTGAACTCTACGGTGAAGATTCCCCGTCTGTAAACTTCCACACTGTATCGCCCGGTGACTTCACCTAACATAGGTCCTGTGAACTCATCGTGGGGGCACAGTAAGAGTGTCCATTTGGAAATTGACGGAACTCTTAGTGTTAGGCAGTGGTTTTGGTGACGGGAATCTGTGGTGACGATTTCCCATTCTGTATCTTGGAGCAAGTATGAAAGGTGGAGAGACGTTTGGTGGTCATATCTAATGTAGTTGTGACTCCTGGAAGAGACTTATTGATAGAAATATGGGTTGTAGAATTTAAATTCTTTCCATTTTCGCTTGTGGATTGGGATATGAGATGAGATAAAGTTTTGCTAATGTATTGTGTATTCGGAGGGTACATAGGCATTCGCCAACTATCACGTCATGTATTCTAACGCAGCACTGTTCAGTTCAACAAGTTGTTATTCGGAATTAGGAAATTGAGATGAAATTTTACGCATTTTTGGAAATTGATATGCAGGCAGGTACAGAAAGTGTTGGAGATGAAGCGGTATTTGCAATCCATTTCAACACTTCGATTTTCCTTCCCTCAGCCATCACGGCGCTTTCTCGCGCTCACAACTGCAAATCCGGGATTTTCCAAGAACATTCTCCAATAATCGGGATCCTTTTTAACAACCTCAGTATCCTCAGGGCGTTCCGTTCTGATATCCTCAAGCCCGAAGGCTTCGTGCATTTTTGTGGAGCCCGAGTAACTAACTTCCATCAACGTCGCCTCGAACTCGAGTGGTGATTCCAATTCGAGCACGTATCGCATCTTCACTCCTCCAGGAATATTTTCTATGTCTTTGTACCTGAGGCCATATTTTCCAGTGGTGGGAACGATTCCCCTAGGGTCGCCACTCCTGACACCCACAAACCGTCCACCAGGCTTCAGATTCGCTACAACATTGGCCCACATCTGCTCAAGAGCTTTCTCGCTGGGTGCGTGGTCAAAAAGCCAATTCGCCATGACAAGGTCATACTGGTGGTCTTCGAGAAGATTGCCAAGGGGTTGAGTCAGGTCGGCTTCGAGCCACTTGATCTTATCACGACCAAGCGATGCTTCAATCTCCTTCCCAGCTTGCAACATTCCGGGGGTTATATCTACGAGGTCGACAGACTCTGCTCCAGCATCAAGAACTTGGCGTGCTCTGAGTCCAGAGCCACCGCCTAGATCCAATACCTTGAGTCCGGTACAGTCCCCGAGTGCTGAAGCCAAGAGCTGTGTTTCTAAGATGCCTGATGGAAGTGAAGCAATGTCATCATAGCCGTGTGCCTGGTCGTTGTACTCTGCTTTGAGTGTCTGATAGTCTGACATGATGGTGAAGCCGATTTAAGTTGAGAATGAATTTAGAGATTGAGTTTGAATACGAAAACATCTTGAACATGGCTACCAAAGGCATGATATATCCAGTATGGTTACAATGATGGGTGCGTTGTCAGTTGGTGCAATTATCCGGCGGGATTGAAGATCTTTAGCCAACGGACACTTTGTATTCAATGACTTGAAATGTAACCAATTTGGTTCGCTGGAGTATTCGTCGTCGGGTGCCTCAGCATATGTATTGAGTAATGCGTTATGCAAAAATCGAAAAGGGTGTCGAGAATTAAACTTGATCGGTTCTAGCGTGTGGACTTCGTGGGGGAGCTCGCACTTTCAGCAGCTGAATCCTTTCTCTAGTTCCTCTTGCAGAAGGTCATATCCCCCGCTTTCCCCCTGCCTATGACCTCGATTTCATGGACGGCTGTAAGACATCCTTCCATCGGAGCATGTTCCCGGTAAGCTGCTTTCTTCATTGTAACACATAACTCATCCGGATCACACCCTAAGGAAATATTTGGTCATCCCGTGTGTCATATATGCCATCCTAAGTCGTCAAATTCAGAGTGTGACCATGGATCTCCTTTGGTGCCCACCTGTCTCCCTGTGAACGTCTCAGCCATAATTTTGGCGAGTGTTGACGAATCAGCATTTCAAGTAGTATTTCAACTTTCTGATTGCGATCTTGAATCTGCCTTACAGTATCAACGATGGTTGGGGTCGAAAAGGTTACTGTCGAGGAGAGTGCTGTCCTTCAGGTTGCTATTCACTACCATCTATGCTTACTCAGCGTTATTTGTTACACGACAAACCAAACTTCATTCCACACATATATATTACAACAATCAGATCCAATGATGGCATGATACATGGAAGAGGTAACATATAATAACACATTATGTATGCATTTTCTATCTATTGTAGATAAGTGAGTCTTGACTCGAGCTCCTCACAGATGAAACCTACCCCTCACTGGGCGAGATTAGCGGAATTTGTGTTAGCTTTCAAGCGAAAGTCTTTTTCTTTCCTTCCCGTTTTGTTCTGTAATCGGGGCAACATGTAATCTTCATCTTCTTATAAGGAAAAGACAGCCAAGGGCGGTGAAAATTAGGTGTTTCCTCAACAGCTCAGCGTGTATTCATTGGTTTCTTCCCCCCCGCGCCCTTTCTTCGATGTTCAAACCCCTCACTTCCGCCAATTTACGATCCACTCTTATCTCTGTCCATGTACTCCACGAATTAGCCTCGTTCTACCAGGTAACATCCACACCATTCTCTCTCATCTGTCTACTCTTTTCTGAACTGCTCTTAGAATTCTCAGTCATCCGTAACCCAATTCTCATTAAATATGGTAGCCTCAGAAGCAGTCTCACCAGCCAATGTTGAATCCATAGGTCATCTCACCTCCTCCCATCTTGCCAGCATTCCAGATCCACCAAAGGCCAAAGATCTGAATGCATCACACATTCTCATCACCAAAACCACCTCTCCAAGAACGGTTCCCGAGCCTGACAGTAAAGAAGTATGGGCTTCAAAAAATTGCACTGATCACATGATTACTGTGCGATGGACAGCAGATGAAGGATGGCAGACACCTGAGATCAAACCCGTAAGTTTGCTACCTTCTTTCTTTCCTGTCCCCTCGAGTATCTCTACGAACACGGGGTAATACTGATGTGGAAATAGTATGGGCCGCTGACAATGATGCCTACAGCATCCTGCCTTCACTATGCAACTCAATGTTTCGAAGGCATGAAAGTCTATCGTGGATTCGATGGGAAACTCCGACTCTTCAGACCAGACAGGAACTCAAAGCGACTGTTAATGTCTGCTCAACGAGTGGTACTTCCAGCTTTCGATCCCGTAGAATTGGAGAAGTTACTCTTGGCTTTTATGGCAGTTGACGGTCCTCGTGAGTGTTGATTCTGGCTTCATTCAGTATCCGACTCAGTGGGACAAGATACTGATATGTATTAGGCTGGCTACCCAAATCTCGACCGGGAACATTTCTTTATGTTCGCCCTGCTATTATCGGGGACGGAGAAGAACTTGGAGTCACTTCTCCCTCTGAAGCTTTACTATTTGTCATAGCTGTTCCATGGCCAGACCTATCGGGTACTCCTCCAGGAGCACAACCTAAACCTCCAGGACTCAGGCTACTTGCTTCGTGAGTCACATCTTGAGCTATCTTATTACCTAAACAGCTTAATGAGGACTGTTGGGGCACGATGACTAGGCTATTACTGACAGGTTCATAGTAAAGAGGACACTCGCGCTTGGCCTGGAGGCTTTGGATATGCTAAAGTGGGAGCAAATTACGGCCCGGCTTTTGTAGCTCATGTAGGTTTAC